TGTTCGTGTTTCCGTGTCGTAAACAGCCAGGAAAGTCGGTGACGATCGTTGCAAGGTTGTTCAATTGAGTTATTATTATTATTATTATTATTATTTTTATTATTAACATCTTTATTGACAATTAATTACAATTTTGCCTAATCTGAGGATTTCGATTAAGTCTTATTAAAGTGAGGATAATGCTGGTATTCACTGTCACGCAGGACAGAGGGTCATACATAAACAAACAGTTCCAGACAGCCGTGGTTATCCAGTGACTTTGATGGATGACGGACAAGCCGATTCCAGATCTATTCAGGCAGCAATGACCAGGAGACAATAACGGAAAACTGTGCGCAGAGAGAAGTGATACAGAGAGATTAACGACCAAAGAGGTGTTGTAGTGCTCAGGAAAAATGGTATAAAATACAAATTTCAAGAGATGATGTCGCTTATCAATACAATAAATAATCGCAGCAAAGATAAGGAGTCTGAAAACATAGAAGGAAAAATTACTGCTGCTGCTTTGTGTTCCTCCCATGTTGGTGTTAGTTACTTTGGCAATGAAATATATTCTTGAATTACATAAGAACATAAGAACATCAGAACAAAGGTAACTGCAGAAGGCCTGTTGGCCCATACGAGGCAGCTCCTATTCTATAACCACCCAATCCCACTCATATACTTGTCCAACCCGTGCTTGAAACAATCGAGGGACCCCACCTCCACAATGTTACGCGGCAATTAGTTCCACAAATCAACAACCCTGTTACTGAACCAGTATTTACCCAAGTCTTTCCTAAATCTAAACTTATCCAATTTATACCCATTGTTTCGTGTTCTGTCCTGTGTTGATACTTTTAATACCCTACCCATACTACCAATACCCTAATAAAAGTGGTAAGGATTGCGATGTTGTATACCTTGACTTTAGCAAAGCTTTTGATACAGTGCCACATGAAAGACTGATTAAAAAAATAGTCTCATGGTATTGGGGGTGCTATATTAAGCTGGATTAGGGCATGGCTATACCAAAGGAAACAGAGAGTTAGTATAAATGGAATCAAGTCAGAGTGGGAAAATGTTGTAAGTGGAGTGCCTCAAGGCTCTGTCCTGGGACCTCTGTTGTTTATAATATATATAAATGATTTAGATTCAGGTTTGAGTAGCAACATTTGCAAATTTGCCGATGATACGAAAATCGGTAGGGAAATTAATTCGGAGGAGGACTCACTATCACTTCAAGTTGATCTAGATAGGGTTTTGAAATGGTCAAAGGATTGGCAGATGCAGTTTAATGCTGATAAATGTAAAGTTCTGAGGTTAGGTAATGATGATAGAGTTACAAGATACGAGCTAGATGGTGTTGTGATTGCGAAGTCGGATTGCGAAAGGGATCTGGGAGTTATGATTAGTAAGAATTTAAAACAAAAGGATCAATGCATAAATGTTCGTAATAAGGCAAATCGGACACTTGGATTTATTAATCGCAGCGTTAGTAACAAGACACCTGGTGTGGTTCTCAAGCTATATCTTGCTCTAGTTAGGCCCCATTTAGATTATGCAGTTCAGTTTTGGTCGCCATATTATAGAATGGATATAAATTCACTTGAACGTGTCCAGCGTAGGATGACTAAGTTAATTCCCCAAATTAGAAATCTTTCATATGAAGAAAGATTAACAAAGCTTAAGTTGCATTCACTGGAAAGGCGAAGAGTTAGGGGTGACATGATAGAGGTTTACAAGTGGATGAATGGACATAACCGGGGGGATATTAATAGGGTATTAAAGGTATCAACACAGGACAGAACACGAAACAATGGATATAAATTGGATAAGTTTAGATTTAGGAAAGACTTGGGTAAATACTGGTTCAGTAACAGGGTTGTTGATTTGTGGAACCAATTGCCGCGTAACATTGTGGAGGTGGGGTCCCTCGATTGTTTCAAGCACGGGTTGGACAAGTATATGAGTGGGATTGGGTGGTTATAGAATAGGAGCTGCCTCGTATGGGCCAATAGGCCTTCTGCAGTTACCTTTGTTCTTATGTTCTTACCAATATCCCCCCAATCTACATCATGCTTCGTAGCATTAGACCATAAGGATCATATGCGTTCACATGCATTATTCATTTCTTTCCACCTTGGAAGTGAGAGGATTAATTCATTAGCTCCCTCGCCTCTCATTAATCTAATCGCCAAAGCTTCATTTATCTCTGAAATTCAATCTCAAATACTCTGTAAGTTCAATCATATCATCATTATCTCGGTAGTAGTATTTCTTGGGACCCTGAGAATAATCTTGGGACTATTCTCATGGCTTCTTTTTGAACCTTCTCCAATTTGTTTAGTCTACCTTTACCAAAACAAGACATGACGGGGGCAACATAATCAATAAGGGATCTCCCAGTATGCCATGTGATTACCATTGGAATGTTAAATGTAAAATAGGATTAATAATTATGTACTGTACGGTTTTGTGAGCCCCTTAAGGGACCTTATATAGACGAGGATAGAAATAGCCTAAGCTATTCTATCCTTTTGAGATGTATAGTACTTCCTTTTTCTCAATAAACTAGAACAGACTGCCGTCACGAGCGCCATCTATTGAGCGGGAACGGGACTGCACTGTTGTAGGTATTAAACTCAATTCTGTATCTGGTGTTGCACTCTAATGATTTTGTGTAAGCAAGCAGGGAAGGGGGATTAAATTATATATAAAAAGAGAATTCTTACAACTTTTGTTTAGTGTTGGTATAGGGTGGCGAGCTAATAACCTGAGACTAGAGAAGCACCAGGGTAACCCGACCTCTTGTAAACTACATATAATAAGCAGAGAAATCACACTAATGTGATATATATAAATGAAAAATCAATTGGAGCTGTTTAGGTGACTCGAACCCGCGACCAAGTTGTAAAGGCAAGCTGAGAGTGCCTTGGTCACGGGTTCAAGTCACCTCAGAGCTCCAGTCGAGCTTCTCACTACAGATGATAATACAAACTCTATAATGAGGTAACATATGGAAGGAATTGTGTGGAGGTAACCAAGGGCAACATAATGCCACCACACGAGGAGTCTCGCCCCGTGAAGGCATAATGGTTATCTTGAGATTATCTTGAGATAATTTCGGGGCTTTAGTGTCCCCGCGGCCCGGTCCTCGACCAGGCCTCCACCCCCAGGAAGCAGCCCGTGACAGCTGACTAACACCCAGGTACCTATTTTACTGCCAGGTAACAGGGGCATAGGGTGAAAGAAACTCTGCCCATTGTTTCTCGGTGATTTACACGCACAAATTGTTCTTTAAATAAAACAGTTCCTTGCATTTAATTATTTAAGTTAATTACTAACTAGACAGTTAAGTAGGTTTATTTGTTTCAAAACACAGTAAAGATATTGTAGAGGTTTTAAGTAAGTCTTCAGATGGGCTGATAAAAATGGCACACCGTTCCCTAAACGTTGGACATTAGTGCAAATGTACCTAAAAGTGCATAGGTTGATGTTTTTATATTCAGCGACTGGGAACCCAAAGTTGCAAGTAGCACGGGCTAAGGTGAGCCCGTAGTGGACTTACCTGGCACAGGAGCAGGGCAAGTAGCACGGGCTATGGTTAGCCCGTAGTGGACTTACCTGGCACAGAAGCGGGGCAAGTAGCACGGGCTATGGTTAGCCTCGTCCCATGAACTGAAGCGCATATTGTACAACATTTATTTAATCAACTTGGTTTAAATCGTCTGAAGGGAAGGTGCGGTGTAGACAGTTAAGCCTCGACCCTGCTGCCCCCCCCCCATCCTCATCTGTCATAATGTCTGTCCATACAGGGATTAGAGTTTAATAACGTTCTCCAGCGGGTAATTTGACTACCCACCAACCTGCTGCCCCCTCCCGTTACCTGCCGCCTCCCTCACCGCCTGCGCCAGCCCCCCGACATCCTTTTGTTCTCTCTTCTGGGAGGAGGAAGTGGACCTGGGATGGGGGGGGGAGGGGGAATAGAGGTTGTCTTTCCCCCCTTCTATTTTCGTACTCTCCATAATAGTACCCTAGTCGTCATCTCCCAACGTTTTCATTTCTAGACCCACAGGAAAATGTGGGTCGTAATGGGTCTAATGACCCATTACGGTAACGTTCCTTCTCTAACCCCCACCCTCTTTTCTGACCCCACTACTCCCACCCGCTTTCCTGACCACTACCCCCCTACCCTCTTCAATCTTGTCTAACCACTATCCCCCTACCAGCTTTTCTGACTTCCACCCCCGCTCTCTTTTTCTGACCACTGCTCCCACCCTCTTTTTTTTCAGCAACGGCTGGATTTACCTGCACATAATTTTGTTTTATTTCAATGTGGTGGTAGTGGTGCTATTTAATTTGTCTATTATGCACCTCATACCCATCCCGTGGGCGGTGATGAAAAGGGTTTATGGGCTCACCATAGCCCGTGCTACATGGACACTTCATTCTGAGTAGCTAAATCGAAAACAACAACAACATTTCTTCATATGACAGGTTTCTAATTTGCGGAATTAACTTTGTCATCCTACACTGGACGCGTTCTAGGGAATTTCTATCCATTCAGCGAATCCATATACTGCGTTATATAACATCTAGAAGTCTGCTAACCTTATTGGATGACCCATAGACGTGCGGTACTTGTGTAAAGGAGGAAATGTAGATGTTTATCTCTCAGAATGTTTGGTAATATGTTTATTGTTTGTGATGTGTGTATATGTATGTATTAACACGATGTACTGAACGGGGTGAGAATAGCTTGAGCTACCTCATCCCTTTGTGTGTATTTTACATCAATAAACTTATTTCAATTTCAATAGACGTGCGGTACTTCCCGCATAATAGTATATGATACTTACAGCAAGTACAGTAGTAGTATTGGAAAGTGGAAATGGAAAGTAATGTTAGTTTGTTTATTCTAAGTTTTTTGCTTATTCATTGAGGTCCTATTCCAATAATTTTGTTTCTGCAGTCCATTTTCTTATTTTGTATTCTAAAACATTTTTGTTTTCTTTCAGCACTGGTTGGATCCAACAAAAACTATTAAAAAACAAGTTAAAAGTAAGTTATATCTGTGTTATGTTTCCATTATTTTCTATATTAGCGAAAGGTATGGTAGGCAATGCAGGATGGACCCGGTGAAAAACAGAGATGCCGTAGGCACAACCAGAGAACACTGAACATCAGAGGTCAACCTCAAGCATACCAGGAGCAGGTCCTTGGCTCTTCAGCCTCCTCCAACCTAATATAAGAAATATTGCTGGAACACAAATAGAGGTGTTGAAGAGCCAACTGGATAGGTTCTTGCAGGAAGTGCCGACCCACCGGATTGTAATGGGTATGTGGGCATGCTCAAAGCAACAGCTTCTTAGTTCAAGTTATCACAAGACAAGCCTGGCTCCAGACCTGGCTTAAATCTTGAGTCATTTGTATTGTATAATTGAGACTGGGGGAGGGAAATCACACTGTATAAGAGAGGAGTGGACTAGCTGCATATTTTTTGATTGTTGAAAAGTCTTCGGGTATTGTATTTCACAGTATATATCCTGACAGATATCACAGTATATATATCCTGATAGATATCACAGTATATATACTGACAGATATCACAGTATATATATCCTGACAGATATCACAGTGTATATATCCTGACAGATATCACAGTATATATATCCTGAACCCGGTGAACCCGGTGATAGATATCACAGTATATATACTGACAGATATCACAGTATATATATCCTGACAGATATCACAGTATATATATCCTGACAGATATCACAGTATATATATCCTGACAGATATCACAGTATATATATCCTGACAGATATCACAGTATATATATCCTGACAGATATCACAGTATATATATCCTGACAGATATCACAGTATATATATCCTGACAGATATCACAGTATATATATCCTGACAGATATCACAGTATATATATCCTGACAGATATCACAGTATATATATCCTGACAGATATCACAGTATATATATCCTGACAGATATCACAGTATATATATCCTGACAGATATCACAGTATATATATCCTGACAGATATCACAGTATATATATCCTGACAGATATCACAGTATATCCTGACAGATATCACAGTATATATATCCTGACAGATATCACAGTATATATATCCTGACAGATATCACAGTATATATCCTGAGTACTGCACAAGCTGTAGAAAGAGACAGGAGTGTTATGGAAGGGGCTTCAGTGGATAACATGAAACCCTTCAGTGACTCGCACAGACCCTAACAAAGCCTTTATATTCCTATGTGACTCGCTGTCACTCATACTATCTCTAAATATCTCGCTGCTGCCTCACTCGTCTTTGTTTCCATCTTCCTCTCCCCACACCACCTCTCGTCACAACCATCACCATTGTCAGCAGCAGCGGACTGTGTGGTTCGCCACGCTCCACCGCAAATCTGGAGTACAAGTGCGTGTATTCCTTTAGGCAAGGAGAGGTGGTGGTTGGGGGGGGGGATAGAGGGGAGGTGTCTGGGTCTTTTTTGTTTAGGGGTTGGGGGAGGGGGGCAACCCCTTGAACCGGCTACAGATGAACTCTGGTAAATCTCCCTCAGGGAGGACAGGATAAATGCAGTGATAGTGACAGGGTATGGTGTGATGATGGTGGCAGGGTATAGTGTGGTTGTGGTAGCAGGTATTGGCGGTATGATGGTATAATGTGAATGCTGTGCTTGGCCTGCATATAGGGAGAGTGCATGGAACCATGCAAACTATGGGGGTTAAACACCCCCTGACTTGTGATGACTTGGTCCAATAGGTTGTTGCTTCTAGTGGCCCGCAGGCCCACATATCCACTACAACCTGGTTGGTCCGGCACTTATAGCTACAATTGTTTCTCGACCACGTTCAATCCGTATTCCGGCAATATTTCCTATGTTTATTGGTAGGATACAGAATGGCCGTGGACCTCTGATGTTCATCAGTGTGTATAGCACCACTTGTCAGGTTTTATTGTGTACCAAGTATGTCTTATTTAGCCAGGTGTTTATGTAGCCACGTGTTGTTTACAGGTCAGCTGTAGTTTCTTATTTACAGTCAGGTGTAGTTTGTTATTTACTGTCAGGTGTATTTTATTATTTACATGAGTTTGATATGATTACAGGTTTTGGCGACACCTGTGTATTATGTTATTCCTTTTGTTTACAGTTGGTCCCCCATACACCTTCCGCTTCAAGGTCAAGTTTTATTCTTCTGAACCTAACTTGCTGAGGGAGGAGTTAACAAGGTGAGTGAACCCCCACTCCTGTCACTGTTGACTTAGGAGATGACCCAGAGATTGACCCATCCCACACATCCCTTCATCCCACCTTTCCCCCCTTATTCCATCCCTCCCCCTCACCTCTCTTCCTCTAACCGGTTTAGTGAGAAGTTTATTAACAGGTAAGTGATCTTTTCCATCTCATTCCTCCCCTTGAACTTAACTTTTCTCTCCCTTATCTCCCTTTCCACCTGTTCCACCTTGCTGTTACAAGGTGAATCATGTAACAGCTGCCTCTGTTTCATTCCTCGTCATCTGTCCGCCTATGAATATAAAAACGGAAACTGCGGAAGACTGAAGTACGGGCTCACTATAGCCCGTGCTGCTTGGAACTTGTTCCGAGCAGCTGAATCTATAACAACAACAACAAGACTGAAGGCCCGTTTGTTCGTACGAGGCAGCTCCTCATTATGTACACGCATACGCAATCATATGTTGTTTGTCCTACGCTTGAAACTATCCGTCATCCCCCCCCCCCCCCCCCCCCCCCCCCCCCCCACCTTCCTCAACGTGGTGACCCAGCTTGGCGCAGTGTGAGCTGGTGAGGTCAGCCACCCCTGACTTTCCTGTTCTGCCTCACCCACTCACCGTTGTTATACTGTACTTCTGGTTACCCTTCATGTGATCTAGATTCCCCGGAATTGATCTAACGAACATCGATGTTTTTTTCTTCTATTCCCCTTGTTTTTTCTCCATTCATCTCTGTAGTTTTTCGACTCAAAAAGAAAAAAGTATAAAAAGCTAGACCTCATTTCTCCCTTAGTCACTAATAGGTAGCAGCCTCTTCCTTCACCCTCCCTACGTCTGCACCTCCGCCCACGCCCACGCTGTGTGCAGGGACATCACCAGGGGTCACCAAACGCCACATGTCTGGACGACGCGTCAACTCTCAGAACACATCTCTGCCTCACAGAAAACGAATACAATGTTGTTATCTGCACTTCAGAGAAAACGGGCCGGTGATGCTGTTTACTGGCCCATTTAACCCGTCCTCTTACGAATTACGTAGTTTTTCGCTCGTATGCGCTACGGTCAAATATCGACGTAATTCAAAATAGAAATTTATTTTCCAACTAAATTTTTTTTTCCAAAACAGCAAGTTAAAGGGTCTTCTAGTAGGTTAGGAGGACAGGAAGCTCTCCTAAGGTTTCAATACGTCATGCAAACCGTTAATTGAAAGGTTCCTCTCCTAACCTAACCAGAGGATCCAAAACAGAAAACGGGATAGTACGTTACTTTCGTGAGCCGATTTCATATTTAATTACGTCGATTTTTAGCCTGAGTGTGCATACGAGCGAAAAGCAACTTAATGTGTCAGATGCCGGGCAATTACGAGCAATCACCAAGCAAAGATTACGAGAACTTTCAAATCCAAGGATCCCATCACAATGGTTATACTATTCAAATGACTTGTACTGTCCGGTCTAGAGTACTGCTCAGTACTCACTTCCCTCTTCAAAGCAGGAGAGATTGCTGAAATGGAGGGAATACAGAGAACATATACGGTATATTCAACATGTTGAACAAGTAAAATGTGCCAAGAAGTGAAGTAGTGGAGGCAAACTCGGTACCCAGCTTTAAATGTCGATACGACAGAGCCAATAGGTCCTAAAAACACCTATACTCCAGTCGATTTTTTACCTTATCCTCCACAAATGCAACTATGTGAGTATTTTACCACTACGACCCCCCTCCACCACAACACACCCCCCTCCACCACAACCACCCCCCTCCACCACAACCACCCCCCTCCACCACAACCACCCCCCTCCACCACAACCACCCCCCCTCCACCACAACCACCCCCCTCCACCACAACCACCCCCCCCTCCACCACAACCACCCCCCTCCACCACAACCACCCCCCTCCACCACAACCACCCCCCTCCACCACAACCACCCCCCTCCACCACAACCACCCCCCTCCACCACAACCACCCCCCCTCCACCACAACCACCCCCCTCCACCACAACCACCCCCCTCCACCACCACTAGGTCCTTCCCAGTGTATTAGTTTGCACCATGTGTTTTGAATGTGGGAGGCGGGTTATGTTTCCACAACTACATGCATCTCATTTTGCGGTGATGGCCAGACACGTACGTCCACTGTAGGTTGAGGGAGGGGAGAGGGGGCGGGAAGCTTGCTGGTGGAGAGGCTAACCTTAGAGTGCTTACCTGACTGTGGCAAGAGAAGTGAGATCTAGTTCCACTCACACGATGAGTGGCGCTGCCCAATAAACTCGCCCCTCGGGGAAAAAATTTAAAAAATTTAAATCTAGTTCATTATGCCAAGTATACTAGTCTCGTTGAACGTGTGGTTTAATTTAACATGCTCTACTTAGAATTGTTTATAAAATTTGGCCATAAAATTGTGAATGGAGGTGGCTTCCACGGCTTTTCTTTTTAGTGTATTCCACTTGATCACCTGTATAGGGTTGGAGCATTTCCTTTATTTCTACAATTCATTTTAGTTTTAATTTTTCCACATGTGCCATCATGTTCTAAATTTCTCAGGTTACTGAGGCTGTCCCTGTCCTCCTTGTCAATTTCCCTCAATATTGTTCGTTGTGATCTTATTCCCTATGGTTTTCTTTTAAAGTTATAAGATTTATTTAACTTAACATATCCTGAATAGACGACACTGCAAACTTTGAAACTTATATAATTTAGGTCTTTCAATTCGCCACAGAAATTGTTATTTACTGAAGATAAGCTTCAGCTACTGCTCCATGGAAAAAACCGAAAATATGAAAATAGAAACCACATATCAAATGCAATCAAATCACACTATAAAACGAGAAAGATTTACATTAAAAGATTTGCCCGAAATATTACGCCTGCTAGTGGTTGTACAAGACTGTAAGAACTTTGTGTGTGTCAGAAAGAAGTCCTCTTGTGAAAGGTTCATACCTTAGACTGACAGGGGTAATGAACCCCTAAACAAGTCCAGTACTACTCTGACCACATGACCCAGACAATTATCTGGTGGTCATTTGGTCAGAGTACTGGACTTGTCTAGGGGTTCATTGCCCCTGTCAGTCTAAGGTATGAACCTTTCACAAGAGTTCTTTCTGATATAATCGGCTTGCGTGTTTCTGCAAGTGTGTGTTATATATACAAAATACATATAACATAATATAATATAATAAAATTGAGGGGTAATTATGTCGGAAATACATAATTTTTAAAGAACACAATAAAGTAGCTGTCACTACTTTAAAGTAGCTAAAGTAGCTCCAAGAAGACAAAGTTGTATAAGAAGAACTTTTCATACAAGAGATGCAACTGATAATACTTTTCAAGACATTAGTACTCTCTAGGGTGGAATACTGGTGCACAATAACAGCCTCATTAAAAGCTGGATAAATTGCTGGCCTGGATAACGTGTAAAGAGCCTTTATTGCTAGAATCCACTTGATCAAACATCCAAATGATTGGGGCCACATGAAATTTTAAAATCTGTATTCCTTAGAGTGCAGGCAGAAGATATACAGTGTATAATAATTTACACTTGGAAAATATGATTAAATATTAAAATATATTAATATATAAAAAATCCCAATTAAAATCCTCAAGTATTACAATCTAAATGAGGGAGTGGAGTGGAGACGGTAGAAATGGGTGGGGGCTGTAGGGAAGAAAGAAGGTGGGTGGGAGTTTGAGATGGGAAGGAATGGGGGGTATATGAGATTGTGGGTATGGAGCAGGCAGGCAGGCAGGCAGAGAACACTGCATCTGCACTTTCAGGTGTGGTATGATAGTAATGATTCATCCGTGTTATAATTGTCTTGGTTAAGTTACATTGATGTGTTTATGTTGCAGGTACCAGTTCTTCTTGCAATTGAAGCACGATATTCTCTCTGGGAAACTGGAGGTGCCCTACCAGCAGGCTGTTGAGCTCTTTGCGCTCAGCCTTCAGTGTAAGTATAATCGACCCCTCTCTTGTACTTTTCAATCCTTCCAGCATTGCTGTTGCCAGTGTCACTATCATCACCACGACCATGAAAAGTTCAACAAATATATTACCATTGCTAACCTCATCACCACAAATGGCAAAAACATGGCTGTTGGTGGTGGTGATGGCATATAAGAAAAAAAAAAGCACCAACATGGCCTTGGATGCCATGAAAGACAAATAAGCCAATGTAATATACACGAACTTCACAAAAGCTTTTGATAAATGTGCCCATGGTGTCATTGTACACAATGCACACAAAATGTAATAACTGGCAAAATAGGAAGGTGGATCCTTAATTTCTTAATTTCTATATCTATGTATCAATGGAGACACTTTGGACATGTCTGTCCAAGGTTGGAGGCCAGATGCTTGGGTTTAGCTTCACCCAATTTTTCCCAGTAATTGCTGTTTGGGTATGTGCCTAACATGGGCATATCAGGTGGACAGGGAGAAGGAGAAAGAGGGAGAAATAGGGCGGGAGGGGAGGAGATGGGGGACAGACAGACCCAGGCATTGCTGGCTATCCCTTCAAGTAGTCAATAAAGTAAAATCTAGGTCATCTGTCATGAAAATCTGCCCGCCAGAGTACTGTACTTGCTCCAGTACTCTTCTCACTCTCAATCGGTCATAGACAAGGCAAATAAAATATTGTGCACCCAGCTAGATGAGGGTCATTGATGTAGAGAACAGTCATACTGTGAGATACTTTTAATAGATCTTACATCCGTGTTCTCACTGGCCACTTTTTCTTTAGGAGTGGACTTGGGAATATTTGTTTGCGAGAGGTGTTGGAGGCTTTTTTTAATGTGTTACTCTATAATTTATTACAATTATTATTAGCAATATTAATTTGTGGTTATCACCATGATTATCATTGATTTTTATTTTCCTTAGCTGAACTTGGTGACTATGATCCAGACATTCACACAGTGGGGTTCGTTTCGGAGTTCCATTTTAACCCCCTCCAGACCGATGCGATGGAGGAGGACACGCTAGAAAAGTATAAAGAGTGCACGTAAGTCACCGAGGCCAGCTTTCATGCTGGGAATACAAGCACACAAGTTGAAAGCTTTATGAAATAGAAAAGAATTGGAAATACTGTACTTGTTTAGATGTTTGTTTATAGCATATTATATACAGTGTGTGTGTGTGTGTATATATATATATTTAATATAAATATATAATATATATGAAGCTGCATATATAATTTAGTTCATAGTATTATTTAACACCAGTTTGTTCATGCTAACAAAAAATTAGAATAATGTAACTTACTGTACTATACTTTATTAATTGTCATTTTTTTAATAGTGGACTGACACCAGCGCAAGCTGAACAGAGCTATTTGAACAAAGCCAAGTGGTTGGAGATGTATGGTGTCGATATGCACACAGTCCTGGTGAGTTGACTGCCAGTAGCAGTTTTTTTTTTTTTATGGAAAAATCTCTTATCCTGTAACTCTGAATCTATAAACTAAACATGATGCATTCCAGTGACAACTAATTATGTATACACTATTCATTTCACCCCCAATGTACTCATTAACCCACTCCTCCCTTACTCATTACACTCCCTGTACGTACAAGCCTGTTCTCATAACATCACCTATAAGCAGTGGTCAGCACAGTTGATTCACAACCGAAAGGCCACAAGTTCATTTCTGCCACGGGACAGACAGGTTAGGGCATCTTTCGCCAGAAGCCGTTATTCAGCCAGCAGTTAATATGGTGAAAACTTGGGAGTTAAATAGCTGTTATGAGATGCGTCCTTGGGAAAGGTTAGTTATTGGCATATTGGGACCACGATAGGTCTTAATAGGCTTCCTGTTCCCAACAAGGGGAACCAAACAGGGTTTACAAAAGATTGGGAACAATTATTACAATTATTAGTAGCAATATTAATTTGTGGTTAATTATCAACAGGATTATCATTGGTTTTTATTTTCCTTAGCTGAACTTGGTGACTATGATCCTGACACTCACACGGAGGGCTTCGAATCCGAAGCCTGTCCATGTCTTCTATATAACTCCTCTGTATCCCCTGATGCTGGGGAGTGAAAGAGGGGAGGGTTTTGTTTTTATTTTAATAATAATATTTTGAGGTATGCTAGAGTTGGTGGTAGAGAATACCTTCCTTAACTGCTCTCTTGCAGTCGGTCCTTATCTGATTTCCAGGTAAATGGGGTGTAGATGGTACAGAAAGCTGCACATCTTCTTTCATTGCATCTACTCTTGAGATACCTGTGACTGGCAAGCAGCCTGGCATGTTGTACTCCTTATATGTCTTACCTGTGCTCAACACAAGTGCTCAACACTGTTGCTAGTACACTACTTCACTTGAACTGCTTTGTTTCCATTGCACATATTTCATTACACACAAGTTAGGTGAGAAAGTGGTGGAGGCCAAAACCGTCAGTAATTTCAAAGTGTTATATGACAGTGCTGGGGAGACGGGACACCACGAGTGTAGCTCTCATCCTGTAACTACACTTAGGTAATTACACATTCATCCAGTTAGTGAGTGCTACATTACTCATAAAAACACTACTCACATTTTCTTTAATGGTAGAATTGGAAGATGAATAGGTCATTGGGGTTTGATCAGTACCATTACTGTACCAGTAATTCCATTTTGTGGAAGTACAGACTATGTATGTCTATTTTATATTCTCACTACCTTATCAGATACAGTCTACACACTAAATATATACTGTACCTGTACTGTTATATTCATCAATAATATCCTGGTTACAGCACAGCATATGTTGTAGATGTCCATGGAAGATTCAGTTAGAGTATACTGTATATGTATTTTTGATAAAAGATTTAATGCACAGTTTGTATGTTATTCATTATTCTAATTTCAATATGCTGCTGCAATATTTTTCTCTGATTAAATTATCTTATGTTAAATTGTTAATGGTCAGTTCTTCACCAAATAAGCCAAATTGCTTTGTTTTTTAATATATTGTAGAATAATCAAATAGTTAAAACATAAGATACTGTATAGTTTAATGATGAAATTATAAAAGGACATTATATAAAATTATTTGCAATAGATCATATATATATATATATATATATATATATATATATATATATATATATATATATATATATATATATATATATATATATATATATATATATATATATATATATAAATGTTAATTCACAAGGACAACTAAAACTGATGTACAAATTATTTTAATTTATAAATATATTGCAGGAAACATCTTTCAAATTGGCTGCCATGGCTTATATTCTCATTTGTAGAGATACATATCACAAGGTTTATGTAGTGGGTGAAGAGTTTGGAACTAAAATGTAACATGTCAGTCATCTAACTTATTTTTATTTTATCTATGGCCAAAGAAACGTTAACATGTATACTGTATATATATTTTTTAACGGTCTTTTAATTTTGTAGGGCAAAGATGGTCAGGGATACAGATTGGGTCTCACCCCAACGGGGATTTTGGTCTTTGAGGACGAAACGAAGATCGGACTCTTCTTCTGGCCCAAGATAACTCGTCTAGACTTCAAGAAGAAGAAGTTGACACTGATGGTGGTTGAAGATGATGATGAGGGCCGGGAACAGGAGCACACCTTTGTCTTTAGGTGAGGGCCGGGTGGTTGTAGTAGCTTAGTACTCTTAGTGTCATTAACCCATACACGGAAAATTGTAGGCCTGTCGGGTTTTTTGATCATTCACACACTGCTGTTAACCCATCAGAGTGGGTGTGTATTTAAAGTTATAATACATGTACTGGTCCAAAAAATAAATGTAATTATCTTTTAAAAGGAATACTGTGTGTGTATAAATCTGTAAGAACCAAATTCAAACTTTTATTCAAAAAAGTGTGTACACAAAGAGCATAAGAGTAATGTACAATTGTGGGGAAAGGAATTACACATGTACTAATGAAGCCACTATTACGCAAAGCGTTTGGGCAAATAACTCTGACAAATAAATAAGGACATAACCAGATTTACTGGTATGTCTTTTAGACTAATCTGAGAATCTATAATAAGAGGGATCTGTATATAATGGGGGGCTCACTGTACTTTGCAATATTTCATTTAATGTGCAATTATTTATATTATAATGTATTTCATATAGCTTTTAATGCCTGACACACTGTATTCCTGGATGTTAAGTCACATTAACAATTCAATTTCAAGTCACATGGTAAAGAATAAACCCTGTCATTATTGCAACATATCTTGGTTAAAATTCAGCAAAATTCTGAATTATGAAACTGGTAATGGTAAGCAAAACTCATTTGGCTACCATTGCCAGTTTCATTTTCCTGTAAGACTACAAGTTATCAGCGAGGAAATCCACCCTTGCTGTTTCTCAGTCTAACTAATCATATTGCTCTGAGCATTGTGTAGGAATGGAATAATTAAATGTGTTAGTGAAACTATAATACCTACTCTTTTTTACAGATTGCACAACGAAAAGGCGTGTAAACACCTATGGAAGTGTGCAGTTGAACACCATTCCTTTTTCCGTTTGAAAGCTCCCAGTAAGGGACCCTCGGGAAGGCAAAACTTCTTCAGGATGGGTTCAAGGTTTAGGTACAGGTATGTTGAGAGCTTAACTGTATGTGAAATTTCACTGACCATAATTTGATTATATATATATTTTTTTTTATGTCCAGGTCAGTTAGTAATTATAATGTAATATTTAAAGTTTTTATGGAAAATGTTAATAGTTAATAATTTGCCGAGACATTTTTCAAAACCCTGATTTTTTTTTTTTTTTTTTTTTTAAATATAAATGTATCAAGAATCTGTACATTGCAGTGGACGCACAGAGTTTCAAACAACCCTCCAGCAGCGCACTAGGCGCACAGTGCAATTTGAACGTCGACCAAGCCAGCGGTTTGCCAGACGTCAAAGCCACGTGGTGCGAGAAAAGCAGCGTAAAAGCGTATTAGAAAAAAAGTTAGAAAATGGAAAAGGTGGCAGTACTAATGAAAACACTGCCGTAGGTACCATCATTGCTACAACTATTGCTGCCTCAGATATGCCTGCAAGTAATGTGGCAACTACAACAGCCAGCAGTATCAGTAGCATCTCCAGCATCAACAAACCAGTTATTTCAACTTCCAGCACTTCAACCATTCCATCGTGCACCACCACACCACCTCCGTCTCCTCTTGATGCTCCCTCTTCTCCCATACCTTCTAATAACATATCTCTCGTGTGTCCGGCTGTTTCGGCAGTAATTTCTCAATCTTCCTCATCTCCCACAACGTCAACCTGTGCTGCTGCTGCTGGGGCTTCTGTACCATCAAATGAAGAAACAGGTATTTTGAAATTTTATCTTGTCTTCTTTATCCTGATTCTGAATTATGTAAGCATCACCATAGGCATTGCTGTAGATTCCTTAAAGCTTTCAACAAAATTTTATATGTAGTATACATTTTCCATTGTTGTTTATACAGTATTTATATAGTTAAACAATATTTATTGTCAAAGCTTGAGTAAGTATATGGGTCAAATATATATATACAGTACCCAGTACTGTACTACTGTATGCCTTAGGAGTTAAGTACATAGTACCAGTTCTTGTGTACCCGTAAACACTGGCCAAGTAATGCATAATTATATAGATTGACTATGGAAGACTTCCCAAAGCAGATGATGCAGTCTCAATATAATTGATTCCATGTCATTACTGTACTTAAGTTTTTGTAGAAAGGAATTAAAGAGAAGTTAACTTTTGATCAGAGATTCCAATTTTAAAAAAATTCAGATTTCAAACAAAAAAAATAATAATGTACGCTGAACTTGAAGCTGAATGTTGGTTACTGGTCCTCTACACTTTGAGAACTAAATGAGCAGTGATCAGTAGTAGTAGGCATCCATCAGTCTCAGGAGACTATGGAGTTGCGCTCTGGTTGTCGGTCTGGAGTGGCCTCAACAGGGCGCAAAGCCAGGGTAGGTTGATTCGGGGGAGAAGCTGTTACAAAGGCAGCAGGTCCCCCCTCTCCACGCTAAAATATACACTGTACACACAAAACATTACTAAACACTGGTACCACACCACTATAGTTGTGAGGTTGGCTTTGTCTTATGTTTTGCGATGCCTTTTGTTTTTCTTTAGTGATGTGTGATGTAATCCATGTTAATATACTGTACAGTACTGCATAAGGCAGAATTTGGCTTTCCATTTTTATATAGTATTTTGATCTCATTATTAACATGGATAATGTTTAAGGTAAGATGTCAAGGTCCTAGTATAAAATATGGTTCAGGACTACTTTGTTCCATATGAACATAATTTTTTTTTTTTATTGGTACCCCCTGTATGTGTATTCATACATACATACATGCATGTGCATGCGCACGCACACACACACACACAAATAAGAAATTTACAAAGATGTAACCATACATGCATACAGATATATTTACATAACCACAAATTGTCAGTATATGTACAGTAATACAGTATAATAGATTTTGAAGACTAAAAGTTATTGTAAGGCTTTGTATATTTAAATGAGTATAGTTACTCAAGAATTGACTTACTCTTACTAAACTCAACAGTTGCTTGTTGAATGCTGCTGTAGTTTGGCATCTGAACGCTTGACTGACCTGAGGACTTTTCTGCATCTTTTCTTCTCCTTGATATGGTCCTTCCTCCTTCCCCAATCCTCATTGCCTACAGTGACTTTCCTACCCAAACAAGCTTCTTCTGATATTGATAAACAGCTGTGCTAGCACTCCTTACGTAATTTGAACAAATCTCAAGTTCACTCGTTTCCTAGCTATAAATATGAGAGACTTGGCATCTGCCAGTGTAGTGCCAATCTTTATGGGGCTGGTGCGAGTTACTGTCATAGCTGTCTCGAGCATCCCACTCTCTTACAAAATTCACCATCCTCCCCCTGCAGTCAATCCACTACCCTGATGACCTGTGTCTCACAACTCATCCTTTCTCTTTTCTTGCTCTCCTGGGCCTGTAGAAGATGCCACGTATGCTGCTGAAGACAGGCTAGACACCTTGATTAAGAGCTTGGCCAAAGACACATCAGTACCAAGCTATTTGGACAGTACAGTCAATGAGCTGGCCAGGGCTAAGCCTTGTCAGAAAGAGGTCGGGGCAGAGGCCTTGCCACAGCCCACAGGGGCTATAGGTAAGAGTGGTGAGTGTTGCTATGAGTTAGTGGCACAGTATGGCTGTAAAACAGGCTGCAGTATATGGTAAATATGTATTTTTGGTGATTTGCTTCTGGCTAAGGCTTATTCTTGGGTAAATAATTGGTACAGAGTGTCTCAGGCAGGTGCCCATGTCCACTCTGAATAATTCAGACTGAATCTTATTGATACTAAAGATGTTTCCAGCTAACCTTCTAATATCATTGGCAATAACTGTGCAAGAATTATAACTGTAATCTTGTTGTGGAATGGAACTAATTATTTATATTGCAGTATAAAGTAAAATTCCTGTTCTGCAGTTTGCTGAAATGTAATTTGTTAAATATAACATGCTAATATAAAATTTGTTATATTTCTGAACACACACAATAAAGAGTCAGCACAACCTGTGCAACATGACTCAAAGTTGTGAAGTCTGACCTCTTGATGCATACGCTTGGGAAAGATATCCTCCTTGCACATTCTTGTAGGCTACTCCTGCCGATTGACCATTATTTTTTCAGCTTGTTATTAATAGTTTTGTGCATGTTTTTAGACCTCTTTTGTTTGCCTTACATTTAAACTACAACACTACTACACCTTGAACTTTGCAGCACAATGTTTTGTGATAGTGTTTACTGAAAGCAGCAAGTTAGCAGGCCACATTAAAACAGTTGAACTTTCTACTTTCCTAGATTACAGAATTGCTAAAACAGCATGAGTATCCACCACAAGATGCTTAAATGTATTTTAAATATATTTTGCATTTTTCATACACTGAATATACTATTTTTGCCATATATTTGTTTACATGGTAGACTGGTTGGCTGTAATAACTAATATAATTATTACTGCCATTAAGAAATGTTAAAAGAGCACTTATTTGACTAATATTCAGTACAATTTAGTGACATGCTTAAAAGTTTTATACACGAGTTCTTCTCCAAGCACCATCACTGTTTTTATTGGTGGGATTGCATAATGTGATTACTTAAGAGAGAGTAAGTAATTATGACAAGAAGGCACAAAGCCGGTGTGACTATGTGGAGAGTTGAATTCTGTTGAGGCTTCCAAACGGGATGCTGCCAAATCTTAAATGGCTCTTTCATCCCATATATTTGGACCTCTCCCTTTTGTGCACCCATAATATATGTTATATGCAGAGGCTTGCTTGATATTTACACTGATTCTATACTGTTGTGCTATAGTGTTGCATAAGAGACCTAATACTAATGCTTTTACTAACGTGGATATTTAATTTCATTGTGATTAATGGTGATTGTGCAAGTGAAACATTTTAATACTGGCCTTGGTGGGGAAAGTGTGAGTGCCTGGTGACCCGGAGAACCTCAACCAGTTGATACGTCAAAAAATAGATGTAAGGACGCAGAAAGATCTGTGAATGGGGATTTGAGAGAATCGGTAGAGCAAAATGAATGAGAAAATAAACTTGAGAAAACTTTTGTCAGAAATCTTTGTGGCGTGTGTTTAGGAGAAGTAGCAGTCAATAGAAGAGTGAAGATATCTCATAATTTTGAAAGTGCTCGTATATGATGCAGGCCAATCAGTCTACTATTAAACCACAAGAGATGGGGGTATTACTTCAGGATTGCTATTTAAGCAAAGCAAAATTGACTATTTTTACTGGATGTTGATTGCACATCAAACATTATTGAATTAACATTAAATATGTACTGATTTATTAATAATGTATAGAAACATTTAATAAAAAAAAAAGCACATGTGAATGACATCTGCATGACCAACATGGAATGTTCAATTAATAAATTTATACAGACTTTATTTCTGTTGTGTGTCATATTTATTTCCAGTAATTATTTAATAGTTGTTATTGTAATTAGAAGCTATTTGGGTAACTCTTGTAATACCTTTGAAAGTACAAATGTAGATTGATTGAGTTGCTTCTGTCAATTCAGATATATTGTATATCTAGATAGTATTCATTAAGTAATACTGTATGTTGATTACCATCATAACAGAAGCAGAGCTGCTGGTGAACAAGATGAAAAACTTGGACAGTTGTAAGAGCAACAGTATTAATGGGGCTGGAGCAAAGATTTCATCAAGCACCACCAAGGTGAAGGACATCAATGTGGTGGTGATTCCAAACAACCAAGCCACACTCACCAAGAACACTGCTCGTCCAATTCCTCCCGACCAGTTTAAGTCCAATATTCTGAAAGGTGAATTTTCCTGAAGTGTAAATGTGTCATTGCACTCACATTTGTGTTCATGTATGTGATCATTAATATGGATAATTAGTTTGAGGGAATCAATATTATATTATATATATAATATAATATTGATTCCCCTATTAAAATTGATTTGTTGTAAATGTAACAGCTATGCAATATATACATTGTGAATTCAATAGAATGGAATACAATAGAACTGTCCTGGATTAGAATAGTTTACGTTAGTTCTGTTGTTCTCGTCTGCTGTTTGGAAGGAAGTTGTGTATGCTGCCACTAGCTCTTGTTGTATAATATCTGTTTCATCCATGCCTCTACCCCTTTTAATACTTGGTAACCCCCTTGGAAACTCTGCATTCCTTGTCATTTGTAAGAGTTTTTTCTGTTATTACTGTGACGGTGCTATTGTAGTTACCGTACCCACTCCTGGAATTATTCAGTCTATTTATAATGCCATCTTCATTATTGTGCATTATGTGTACCTGTATACTGCTCATTAATAGTGGGAAGCTGTGTTCCTCTTGGGCTATGGGTGGACATCATAGTCTGTATTTGGAGGGCATGGAGATGATGTGGTACCTTAGGGTCATTCCTGCTAGCTGTATTGGGGATTTACGTATGTGGTTGAGGAATGGGGTCTGTTTGCTGTTTTTTCACTCTTCCACCTATGCTCCACCTCATTCTCTTGTCCCTCACCTGGAAAACACCAATTATTCACATTGTTGTTAGCTTTACATCACTTAGCCTCTCCTCATAGCTAATTTACGTAATCTGGGTTTGAATGTGTGTGTGTGCATGTTTATATATTTGTATGCTGTATAATTTTAATTTATAACTATAATTTTGTTGGACAGGCAATCTGTATATAATATGTATATAATATAAATATAATATACATGTTTAGCTTATATCGAGGCCAACCGCCCCCCTCCCCCACCCAAGGCCGAACCCCAAAACAAGCCAATCAAATCATGGATACCTATTACTGCTTGGTGAACAGCAATATCTTAGTTGATAGGAAACGCGCCCAACAGAATTCCCTATTGAGAGTAGAGAACGAACCCTACTGTACTATTATATACTAGTACAGTATATAGTAGTACAGTAGCAGTGTGTGTGTATATGTATACTGTATGTATATATGTAAAAAGTAAGTTTTATAATGAATATCATTAATAAAATATTATTTTACTGTATTTGATACAGCCAAGGCTGAAGAAGAGTTGAAGAAGGGACCCCTTAGTGTAGAGATTGACAAAGCTTCCATTGGAAAGCTCAAAATTTCAAATGGGTAAGTTTTTTATCATAATATTTACTTTTGTATATCTATTGTGTGTGTGTTTATACTACTAAGCCAGTAGTGCTTTGAGCCTTTTACTGTGTGCAAACTAAAATGATTAAATTGGCCCTATGGAAGATTTTATGTATAGCTTGTTCTAATTGCTGCTGATTTAAATATGGGATTTTGTCTAGATGAAGTTCATGCATTTTTAATGTCATATGTATTATATGAGGTACTTGTTTTTGCAAGGTACATGATGTATTAAAAAGAGTATTGTTAGCCTTCATTTAAAAGTGGCATTTGATTGGAACAAATACATTCACATGAAGATTTAAAAATGTTTGACACATGAATTGTAGAACTGTTAGTATTTGCAACTACATGAAGACTGCACGACTTACTCTAAAGCAGCATAGCATTGAGATATCAAACAAGTTTTTATTTGAGAGAAAGTTTAGCCATTTTGATGAATTTCAAAATCAAACCTGTAACGGTCGATAGTGTCAACCTCACACACGTCGGGTCCACAGTTCGAGACCCAGATAGCCCAGGTGAATGGAATGTTTATTTCCATGGAAGTGTAATTACCTAAGTGTGGATGACAATTTATTCTGTAACTCCATCATTGATAAAGTTTCTGCAGGAACTTATTTTAACAGGTTCTAGGAAGTATCTGTTCTATGTTTGAAACCTAGAAGAACTGGTGCTCTGTGCGCTCAACTCGTCTCTGACTGAAGTGTTACGCTATTATACTTTGTCGATTAGGCTTGGCTCGTGAATTAAATATTTTGTGTGAGCATGCCTGTAATTGTATAATAATCCAAGACCAGGAGGTGGGGATGTTGATCTTCGGAACCTGTGTAAAGTTGTGAAAAGTTTAAAATGAACAATATATGAAGTTTGAATGTAAGAAAGCAAAAATTCAAATTTGGAATTCCCAAAATAATTGTTTTAAATTTGTCATTTATGCAATATTCAGAGAATGCCTTTATGTATTGGCTTGAAACTTAAGCATGGTGGTGATGTTTTTCCTTGACTTCACTGATTACCTAATGGTGGTTCCTGGGATGACTAGGCACTGCTCTTCAGTTGACCATTTGGAGGAGCTTGTCAGTTTAAATTTTGAGCACAATTAGAAGTCTGATAGTATTTTCCTCTATATTTAAATAGAGGTTGTTTGAGAGAGAATAGGTATGGTGTGATCTCACTTTGTCATCGGTCACATATTCTAGAAATTTAAGCACACCTTTTTTCCCCATAATAATGAAACATGTGGTAAATGTGTTGCAACATGCAGCACCACACAAACCTTCACTGTAGACCATTTTCTCATGGGATGCGTTTGACCTTGTATGGTGTTTTACTCCACATGACATTGGTTGCCTCAGCCCTGCATCCAGGAACTGTGTTCAAGAAGTAGGCTGCTCAGATGGTGATTAGATATTTGGAGATAAGATATATTTAACCATTATAGTATTTGTTAGAAAATAGTTTTGTCACAACTTGTGGTTATTGATCGTTGGATGGTTTGATGTCATGAAGACAAGCTGGAACAGTGAGTGTGAGTGTATTGTACTGTGTACAATACACTGGCTCTGCGCCCTGGTGAGGCCACTCCAGACCGACAACCAGAGCCCAACTCCATAGTCTCCTGAGACTGATGGATGCCTACTACTACTAATATACACGTACCCATTTCTTCTTGTTTCTATATAATACAATGATATAAGGCCAGTCTCATTGGTGGGTCTCAAATACCTCTGATCATAACAAAAATGCTTGTTACTTCAGAAGGACAGTATAATAAAAGTATATTGTATACAGTGTTGTATATAATATTCTCTTAGGCTATAAAGGAAGGTGGTGGAATGGATGTGTAAATATATTTCCATGGTATCATCCACTACTAAATTGATTTTATCAGAAGTGTTCACAAATAATTTTGATTATCTATAGCCATATTACTAAAATTTCCTTATTTCACCTGCGTACAGTAATGAGAGTTGCATTACATTTATTAAAAAAAAAAAAATAATCAACTTACCACTAATCTCTAATCATTTCTTTTTCGAAATGCCCCTTGGTTCTTCAGGTTTCTCCTTCCTCGCTGAATATATCAACTAGATACTAAATTTTATGTTTGCAATCTTAACATTTTATAACAATCTGCATATGATGCTCACTCTTCCTGATCTTGAGAGACAACCACCAAACTGTCTCTCTAGCATTAATGTTAATGTATACAAGTTTCTTACATTGATCCATCATGAGTGATGGGAGTGTCTCTCCTTGCTTAAGTCAGTCCTTGACAGTGAGCCTTTACTCCCTGTAAACATCACACTCACTTGACTTTTTCCTGTATTACTCTCTCTTTTTTCTCCATTTAAGTGATTTTGGACCCAAGTGTTCCATTACAAGTCTTGTGTGAATATCATTATGACAGTTGTACCTGTTGACGACACTCCTGACTCCTGCCCGGGTTGGAGCTCGGGTTGCTCAAGCTCCAATATTACCGTCTCATAACCTTTATTGCCAAAGCTTGACCAATCCACTATGGTGGACCTTAAAGTTTGATCTTAAACTAGTCACTCCTCACATTTTATGAGCTTTTTCTACCATTAGTGCTTTATTTCTACAGAATTTTAAGACATACATGTACAGTAATCATTCATTTTAACTCCAGTATAATTGTTTTCAAGTTAATTTTAGTGTACCTGTATATACATTATAGCCACAATTTTCTCGGGTTGTACTCTCTTGGTGACTTCGTAGATCTATATCGCCATCTTCAGAATTTGACTTTGTTTATTATGGGTTTCATTAAACCTTTGTTCTCACTTTGCTATGCATTTTATGCATAGCAAAGCACTTATGGGCTATATAACTAAGTAACTTATATGAATAACTATATAACTTAATAATTTAGACCTGTAACTAAAGCACTTGCATGCTTTAGTTGGTCACTATTTTATTTTTTATGGTGTATTATAAGCGTTTGCAGTTTTGATATTTTATCTATAGAAATTTGTTATATTGTATCAAACTTTTGAATTTTTGACATTTCATATGTAATTTTAGGGAGGTGGCAGATAGTACAGCTTGTAGTGAAGACCCAGAGGGGGCCATTGATGGGTAAGGTGATGTTGTGCATGGCCAAGCATGCTCTCTTCAACATTATGAGTGCTCAGTTTTGTCTAGGAAACATCGCTAACATTTGTAGATTAACATGAATAATTTGCTTATAGATGTTCATAAGTGGACATGACAAGTTAACTTGCATACCTGGACTAACAACGCACTAACTTGTAACCATAACTTGCCGCTTGAATCTAAATTTTGTTACTAAATGGGTTGCATTAACTTGACACTTTTATCTTCAAACTAACAAAGGTCACTAACCAGACATCACACTCTATTCATCATCAATTAATAAGTCATTCAAGGTACACTCATTAATGGGGTGCCTAATTAATCATTATTTTGTTCCATTGGAGATTCAAAGCTAGCATATATATGTTATTATCTAAGCATTGATCTGCATGTTGCCATATATTTGACAAGTATTTAAATTTAACATTCTTGTGGTACTCATCTTTTATGCTCTTAACTAAATTTCCTCAGTTATTTTGGTACCTTCAATTTTGTTTACAATCTTGGCTAGACTGTGTTATTGTATTCAGTTTGGTCTTGAGCACTGTTATGATAGACCGTCTATCATATATGTCAGTACTGCATATATTCTTCAGTTAACATCCTTGTCTGTAATTGGGTATTTGTCCCATAAAAAATAACTTTTAAAAATTATATACACAGAAAAGCTAACATTATATATTTGATGGTCATTTTTGTGATCAATTAGCATATAATTACTTGGGAACATATCGATAATTGGTTTCTTAAAACTGCTTGTTTTATCATATTTAATACTAATGTATTATATTCTATTGAAAGTCATCAGAATGTTTATTTTAGAGGCCCTCTTGTTATCTCTGTGCCAGGTGGTGGATGACACTTTTTTCTAAGGCAACTACCGTATTGAACAAGTAGGTACTGTACACACTTCATGTTCAGTGCTGCATTTTAATTCCCATTCCCTGACACTTGCATGACAGAAAAATACTCCTTTTGGTGTGTGTATGATACTAATAAATTTCATTGATTTATTTTTATGCATTATGTAATTTATTGCAAGTGTAAAATTAATATATTAAATACAATAGTAATTCTGTTGTGGTCTTGTAATGACAGTTGTATTTCCCAATTAATGCATAAAATGTATGTTGTAGATATGCCAGTGCATATGTATTTGTGAGCACAACCTGCTCAGTTTCTCTTGTGCCACAACCATGAGCCCACCCATGTCATTGTTCGAGGCTGGGTGACTGGTCGAGGCTAGCAATGACATAGGTGGGTCCGTAGTTGTGGCTCAAGGTGACAACGGAGGTGGCATTCAGAATGACCCATTCCTTGTGATGCTATATTTTAAATGCACTTGTACCGTATTTCAAACAGCTGTCATAGAATTATGCGCTGAATTTTTTTTTTTTTATCTACTGTCTTAACAAGAAGTTGGGATAATTTATCTTAAAAATTAGTCAAAAATTTAATCAGTAATTGGAAAGAAAGAAAATGGGAATTACTAAAGAAATGGTAAATAAGGGTCCAGCATCAACTGGCAACTTTGTTATTAAAAGTGAAGAAATAATGTAAAATTACATTAATCAGAGAAGATACAATGTGAAACTTTTACAATAGAAAAATAACCAATGTGAGGGCAATAAATTACAATAATAAAATAAAAATAGGGGAGAGCAAGGAGAGATCGTTATCAATGACCACTGGAAACTACGCAAGTATGAAGTGTACCTCAGATGTGTGTTAGGATATTGTCTTGAAGTGGTAAAGTAAATGTCATGTAGGGATAGGGAGCAAGATGTAAATCAAGAGAATTGAGGAATCTAGAGAATTTCTTGATTTTTGAGAAATCACCTGTGATTCATTTAATTCATAATTACTGTACAGTATTATGAATTAAATGAATCACAGGCAATTCCTCAACAAGTTAACTACACACCATTTTCCAATTTATTGTACTAGGTTAGTATTAAACCTGGCATAAAATGTGGAATTTTATGAGGAAAAGTTGTAGGAAGTAGATGAAGGCAGAGAAAATGGATAATAGGAATAGTGGTGAAAATAGGGAGGAGTTAGGTAGCAGTGTGTGTCAAAAAGAGAGCAAAGCATTATAAGGATATGGAATGCCCAGCAGGAATAAACACGGCTGTAATGAAATCAACCCATCCTCCGAATTGACAGTACGTTTTAATACTAAGTGTAATAAGTACATTTCCTGACTGTCATACATAGTACATAATTGCACTTATGGGACTGTTACATTTACCTCCCCATATTTTGAGGACGGGCTGAATAAAATGTATAAATAAGACATTAAAAGACCTTGTGAGGAAATGAAAGCAGCAGCAATACAATACTACTACCAGTAATTAACTCAAGAGCATGTTGTAAGAACAAGAAAGTGGCCAAACAAGAGTGAGAGGAAGCAAAGTAGAAGGTGTATACAGTAACTATATAAAGTTGGTCAAAATGTGCAAGGATGAAATACATAAGGAAACATGGGAGACAAAATAGTTATGAAATGCAAGGAACTCCAGACAGGAGAGATGAACAGGAACTTAGAGTCTGCAACAGTAACATGTGGAATGCACTGAAAGATATCATGGATACAATCTACATCCTCGACCTCAAAAACAAATACGACACTCGAACATCGAGATTTATATTTTAATGTACAGAAAGGTGGTTGGGTTAAATTTTCCGTGCAAGATGAAGACTGTTTCCATCTTTGGAGATGGGTATGTTTCCTTTCACCCTGATGCCCTATTTACCCAGTAATAAACAAGTACCTGGAAGTTAGGCAACTATTGTGGGTTGAATCCTGTGGAAAGTAGGTCATTTGGCTAGGGGACCTCAATAAGCCTAATAAGCTTCTTGCCCTCAACAATGGAAAATGGGAAGCCATCACTCACATCACCACCACCTATCTTCCCTAACTTGTGCTGTGATTGGCTGGCGGTATCGCTTTACTTTAATGTATTTTGTTTAGTGGCTCACAGTTGCTAGTTGTACAGTACCGATGTATGCAATACAGGTATCAAACATTATATATACAGTTTACATTATCATCAATTAATGAACCCAACATCAGTGATGGTGCTTCAACAAGCTCAGTAGCATAAATTACAATTTTACTTCAGAAGATTTTTGTGATCAGTTATTTTACTGCATGAATCATAGAATGAGATTCTGCTGCACATTCCTTGGTATCGCAGGATTTAAAAATTTCACTCAAAATCAATCCTCATTTATGAGCGAGATAATGTATGGCTAAAGCGCTGAAGATTCTTTCTTGTGAATACCATGTGAAGGAGTACTTAGAAAGAAGGACCATTGTAAATATAGTGATCATTTGAGTTTAGTTGCTGCTGTTTGCTTTACATTTTGTAACAGGAGCAGCAGCAACAGTATAATAGTGAGTTGTATTGTTTTACTGTTTGTGTTATCAGTAAGTTGTTAGTGATTGCTGTGTTTGTTTCAGTGGTTCTCTTCCTCGCATGAAGAAAGCTGGTAATACTGATATATGTGGGAATAATGAAGGTGCTACGTTTGTATCTGTGGTGAGTAAGGCCTCGTGTGTTTGATTCCATGAAATTTTATGCTTTTACCATTCATTTGCTTAAGTGCTATTAAAAGTACTGGATTGTTAATTTAATCTGATTGTATTTTCCCTCAGTTTAGTGCTTTTATGTCCTGATTTTTGTTGCTTTAACATTTTGTTTTAGTGAAGTCTGCATCCCAGATTTTGATTGGTATTCATATTGTTTTATTGACACCTTGCTGCTTGATACTACAAAGGGAGGCGACAAGCTGACTTTGTCCCTTGGTGCCGTTGGTGTTGGAGAGAGTGGAAGCAGCATCAATCCTCCCCAACATTTATTGGAGGCATGGGAAGGGAGGGAGCAGCCTGGTGAGGACTCAACACCTCTCCTCAGCCTAGACCCACCAGTTACAGTCACCCACTTCACTACCACCAGCCAGAGTACACCCCTAGATCGTCTCACTCTTCCCTCGAAAGATCTCACCGATTCATCTTCAATTTCATCTACCACCACAAACATCTCTGTCTCTGCCACTAACAGTTTTAACAGTAATCCCTTCAATCCATTTGCATCTAGCATTTTCGGTATGAGCAATCCTTTCAGTTCTGCAAGTAATATAACTAATAATCCCTTCAGTGTGTCTACCACAACTGCCGCTGTCATCATCTCAAACCCCTTTGTGAAGTCCTCCCCTTCCTCCCTGAGCTCCACAACGTCAACCCTGACTGGAAGCAAGCCGGCTTCCAGTAGTGGGGCTGAGGAAGTGCTGGGTAATGGTGAGGTCAACCCTAGTCCTCCTTATTCTCCCTCTGATACTCCGGCCGAAGGTGTTCCATCCCCACCCCACTCACCCCGCTCCTTCACATCATCCACGTCCTCTCAGGCCAGCTCCCCCTCTTCATTTTCACCTGACCAACTGGCAACACACGATACTGATAAAGTAAGTTCCCAATAATTTAATGTATATTTGTTGCTTGTCTGTTCTGACCTGTGTATATGCATGTTTAGTAATGGTGGCTTGATTTTTAGTTGGTTGCATCACCCTTACGACGTGCTAATGCAGCCAAGTATATTAGTGTGACCATAATTTTTATTGCACTAGGATGTTAATATACAAGTATTGTAAAATACATTGAATACAGAAGATAAGTTTATTGGGATAGCAATGTTTATTTACCATTAAATACTTAAAAGAATTCATTATCATATACAGTAGTACAAAACTTGATCATTCTTCTAATGAAGTACTGTAGTAATATAAAATAACATCCATATGTCTGTATGGATATCTTGAGATTAACATATTTTATCAATAAATTAATTTCACCCTTAATATTAATATTTAATATTTTGTAGATAAGATTTTTATAGTCAAGATAGTATTGGTGCATAAGACTTTTGTATATCAAGTGCAGTATATTAAAATAAATTTATATATCGATGCACAAGTTAAAATGTTTGAAAAGTGAACTATATAAGGCATTGTTTTGGTCTTTTATGAACCCTAGATGTGTTACTCAGATGGGTAGAGACATGGTTTGGGTTATATCTGATAAAAAGTAATTAACCTCACACACACATTAAAGTTTCTCAGTTCATTGAACCAAATAATTTTCATGTCTAAAAGGTATCATTCTTGATACAGTTCTCTCTGGCATGTGCAAGTTCTTGAACCTATATCTACATAGTTTCTTGTTCTTCACCCACACTGTTCTTCCTGCACTTGCTTTTACCTTTTCTCTTCAACATCTGTGTACACACACACCCACCCACCCACCCTCACCCACACCCACACACCCACCCCTCTCTCTTATATGATACATATACACTTTTTGCACTGCATAGGAATCTACATTTTCTCTTTCAGTCAGACTTGTTGAATAACTCCAGAAGTTACTACGTACAGTACTTACTGGATATTCACCTCATTCTCAGCCAAGTATTTTTTTGTTTAATACTCTGTTCAAAAGTAATGTTTTTGACATTAGAACAATTATCTTCTTCCAGTAAGATAAGTGATATTTTTATAAAGTCACATAAATATGGCTAGTACAGATCTGGAAATCTCACACTCAATTTACCAACACCTGAATGACATGTTCTGACCTTACCTTACTAAGATATTAATACATGCAGCTATATCTTGTAAAAAACAGGAATAATTTTTGTGGAGGGAAGGGGGAATTGTGAAATATATAATGAAAGTATTATCATCAGGAATGTATCTGTATCCTGCAGGAAACAACCTTTTCGGGAAACCAGCCTGTGACACGATCGGTGTCGTCCACAAGCAACCGCAGCTACACAGTAAGTAAGAGCACCACTAACTCGGCCCTTAGTCAGATGTCTCCTTGGCTGGTGGCTGATCCCCCAACACCTCTACCCTCAAACAAACTGGAGGTCCCCAAGATGCGCACGGTGATAACCACGGAGCTGTAACCACTCCACAGTCAACTTGCACTTTTTTTTTCTTTACACAAGACGTGTGTGTGTAATAAGACTTATTCCTGTCTTAATGATATTTACTTTTCATATTACACAGGAATTGTTGCTTAGAATTCCCATATTATAAAAACAATCCTGATATTTTGTTTGTATAAACAGATGAATATCTTTTATGTAGTTAAAAATATCTTTCCAGTAACTTAAGTTTATCCTTGAAGGGATTGCAGCTATTCCTCAGTATTGTAATGGTAATATGATGTGCCTTCTCAGCCTTTCCATTATAATTAAGATTAACTGTAACTATGTGTATATAGTCATCTCATAATTATCATGCTGAATGGTTAATTGTAATGATCTCGCAAAGTTTTGTCTGGTAGTTTACGTGGAAGTGGAATTTTCTTGGCTGCTGGAATGTGGGTTTTATTATTTAAGTATTAATTACTAGATGCATACCAGCTGGACTGATGATGTGAAGATCTTTAGATACTGAATCATCTCCCTCATCAAGGTTTCAAGTAAAGGATATTTTTTTAAAGGAATTAGTGTGTTTAAGGTTTCATTTAGAAAATTAAAAAGCTTATTAACTTGCTATTTCATACAATATTTAAATTTGATACATTAAGCACTTGATCCGAACTTGAGGATTAGGTCAGAATATTTATTTGTCCATCAAGTTGCATCTGAGTAGTTTTGGGCTTGACCAATGTTTAAAAAAATATAGTCGATATATAATATTTCTTTGTAGATTTAATTGTTATAAATATTAAAAATATTTTAAAATTTTGTTTACACTACGGTATACAAGTTCAAAACCTCTGAACTGTAAATCAAGGGTACTCAACCTATTATAGTTTTGTATAAAGGATCTGTGCAGTCTTGTGATATCCAAAATTATTTGACTAATACTGTATGACTGTTTTGGATAAAATAACCATGTAATCAATGTTGAGAATCGATGATTTACAGGTTCCCTGCGACTGGTAGATATATAAAATGCTATGAGTTTCGTTTGAGATAATTATCTTGGTTGATCTTACAATTAACTATTCCTCATTTAATAGTATCAATGAATATCCTCTACATATATATATATATATAATATTTGGGCTTGTGTGTCAAAAATGCCTTGAAACTTTAAAGCCGGGCCAACTGTAAAAAGTGTTGCTAGTCTTGTGTTGGTGCCAGCTTGCTGTAACACATGCTCCTGGCCCCCCTATCTTTGTATAGGGTATCTTCTTCCTGCACATGTACTTTATATAGCTGTGTTTAGAGGCTCAAAGATGCAAGCTGTCGTTAAATGATGGAGATGCTCAGTGTGCCAAATCCTGTGCAATATTATGTATCAAGCCTTAACAGTAGGTCTTCAGCAAAACACACTTGCTGAATTTCTTCTAAAAAGGCTATAAGTACAATGTGCTTTTCAAACTTTGTCTTAATAAAGGATATGAAGTTGAATGATCTCCAAAAGGAGAATTGTGTTAAAGCTAAGGTGTTAAATTTAATTGTACAAGTTTTTTTTTTCTTTCTTTTTTTAATGCTAATCTCAGGACTTATTGAACAACAGGCAATTTTTCTCCTTATCATTTGGTGGTAGGACTTCAAAAATTGGTATCAGGAGTGCAAGGGGTCTACTGTCCTGACCCAATATGCAGTAGCTGTTGTAGCTGACCCAAGACTATTACAACATATTTTCTTGGCCATGGTATGGACTGCATTCTGATGTAATGCATGCATGTAGACCATATGACTTTATTAATGTAGCATGCAGCACTGCATAATCCCATGTGTGTGTTATTCGTATGAAATAGGACCAATTTAAAATCTGAAATATATTTTTATAGGGTAAATATGCAACAGATGTTACATGATTCAGTTTAATTGCAGCTATAAGTTTTCAAGTGATTACTTCAATTTCCATGATATTGAAAATAAGGCAGAAATACACAGAAGCAAATGTTTGATAATTTTCATCATCATACTGCATTTCATATATTCAATATGTAAACTGTTTAAAGCTATGGCAACTTGGATAACTAACCTCAACAGTGGATATGAGAGTGTGTTGTTTGTACAGTGAGGGTGTAATATATGTGCGTGATATGATTTTTGTGTATTATTTTCTTATAAAATTGTCAAGTCTAGTAACATTTAAGAGAAATTTCAGATGACAAAACAGTGCACCTGATACATGGAAAATTAAACGTCTGAATTATTGACAAATGGCAGAGTAGGACAATGTTTATTACCGACACTAAAGCATGATTTTGCACAAGGACATTGTGTAGTAAAGTAGCAGTAAATGAGTCAAGACAAATTTGTATCACTACTAGGGGGTAACGGTTAATTTCTGGTATGAGTCCAGTTAAGATCATGCCTAGGTATAGCTTACAGTTAGAGCCTGGAATGGTTGTCATCTCTGAGAAATCATCTTCCCGCAACAATGTAGTCTTCACACTATCAGAGCCAAGTTGGACATCAGATACTCATTAGTTCCTTACCAGAACAAACCATATTCACACCACCCACCAGACGTACAATTAAAAAAGTAAAAGTAAGTAATTATCAAAAGAAGGCACCAAACCAGGAAGGCTATGTAGCACCATCAAATGTGCAGAATAATCAGAGGGCGCTAAATATCACCATGGATGCCAATACGAGAACAGAAACACATAAGGCGAACAATATAAAAAAGTATCGGATTCGCCAAAAATTCTATCGAGGGATAGGAAACCGCGAGGGACGGTCGGAAAAAAAGACACACTCGTCCTGGAAGTCAGGACATTCAACAAGGATATGCAAGACTGTAAGAGAGACGATGCAACTTGGACAATAAGGAGCAGGGCGGCGCTCCATTAAGTGACCGTGATTTAAGCATGAATGGGCAATACACAACCTTCTTGCAACCGCAACCCAGAGCCGTTTCCCAACAACAGAGTAGCTTACACCGTCCACAGACTTAGACCCATCGGTTAAGATGGAAACGGAGTGGGAGTGCGAAGAAAAGTGCTCAAGGAAAAGGCGTTTCAGAACTGTAGGAGGGGTAAAAGCTTTAGTGATGCAGGTTAAAGATGTACAAAACTTCGGAACGGGGACTCACCACAGGGGCAAGGAAGGAACAACACAAGGAGAAATATTAGAAATACGAACTGAAAGAGAATCCTGTAAGCGAGATAACCGGACAGAAAGAGAGGTGATGAAGAGGAACAGGAACCACAGGAGGGGTAAAAGTTAAAGCACAACAGTGGCGAGAGGAAGGATTTTGCAAGGACCGCGCAAGATAGCAAAGACAGTAGCGTTCACGGCGGTCCTGGAGAGATAGCAAGCCAATGTCAACATGCAAGCTGAGGACGGGAGTTGAACGAAAGGCACCAGAGCTGAGGCCTAACCCAGTATGGTGCAAAGCATCAAGACAGCGAAGAGTAGAAGCAGCAGACGAGTAAGCAGGGCAACCATAATCGAGTTTAGACAGAACGAGAGAGGAATGTAAAGCGAGGAGAGTGCACCTATCCGCTCCCCAAGAAGTATGGGACAATACCTGAAGGAGGGTAAGGGCCTTAGAGCATTCAACTCTGAGGCAAGAGATGGGGGACAAACGAGTGCCAAAGATTAACGCCAAAAGCTTCCAGTGCCTTTCCTGTTATCCTATCTTGTTTATTAATCTGTTGTTAGGAAATGCATCATAAGCGATTCAGTCTATCCATCCTTTGTACTCTTGTCTTATTTTAGTGACCCTGACAAAGAATTCAAATTTGTTTTAAGCATTATTTTTCCCTCACCGAAGCTTTGTTGTACTTGTTATAAAAATTATCCTCTCATTGAAATTTGGTTTTACATTTGCAGTTCCAGATATTATAATAGCTCTCCCTCTAATTAAATTGCAGATTCTGCAGTATATTTTTCTATTTCCACTGTTGTGTGTACTCACCTTAATGTGCCTGCAGGTCGAGCTTCAGCACATGCATATATAGCATTAGGGCATTATAAATGTTGAACATACAGTAATATTTATTAATACACAAGTACATGATAATGCAATTATGGTGAACAGAGCACTGGTAGTAGACACAATCTCTCTCTCACACACACACACAAAATATATATTTATAAGAAACATACAAATTTAGTAACATCCTGAGAAATAAAAGTGGTATACAGGGAGTTGGGAAGTAATGGCAATATATATGACCCATTGTGATGCCAGGCACAGTATGTACCTTTCTTTAGTTTCAGTGCTTTTTTTTATTCTAGTTTCTTCTAATTCCAGGTACCTCTCCTTTATTCCAGGCACCTTTCTGTAATTCCAGTTGCCTTTCTTATTCTTGGTTTCTCTTTTTAAATTCAGGTACTGTACCTCACTAATTACAAATGCAAATGAATATATTTTAATACACACTTGAAAGTAAATGGTGTATACCAATAAAAAATTATCACCATAAATTGTTGCAATATTGCTGATAAAAGACAAAAAGATAATTGTTCCACTGAATTCAGGGCCGAATCTAACTGCTTTTTGGATCCTAGGTCAAAACAGGTAAACGTGCCCCAACTCTGGTCAGTGTGGCTATTCAAAGACAAAACACATGCACGTAGACAGCTCGTATCATAATAATATCTAATGATTAAATATCAAGGTTATATTATGCCCAGTTTTGCAGATGCATACACTGAGGCCACATTCCTACACTTATATAAGTTTTAACAATGATTCTTGAAACTATAAATTCCTGATAACTAACAGTAAACAATCACTTGTGTATCAAGAATACCTTTTGAATGAATAGTAAATATAAACAAGTAATACCTCTCCTCAGTTGTGTGAAGCATCATGTGAAACGTTGAAAACGTATATGAAAATGTGTACAGTATTGGAATTACATGGAAAAAATAATTGGGCAGTGCTACCAAGTACAGTAACTGATTAGTCAAAGTATTATTTGATATTTGTCCATTTTTATGGTACAAAAAAAAAAGTACTTGTTGGCCCTAGGTCCATGACCTACTTGGCTTATTGGGTAATACGACCCTCACTACATTCTTGTTTGCATGACAACTAACACTCAGTATTAGCTACACATTAAAATATAACTGGCAGCTGTTAGCTCACAGTGCGGTGCTACCTTACCTTGCAATGATTTCGGGGCTTAGTGTCCCACGCGGCCCGGACCAGTCCTCCTCGACCAGGCCTCCTCCTTGTCGGACTGCTTAGACCACTCTCAGACTGCACTGAATCTACTCAGAGCAGTCAGTTCACAACCGAAACATCTCTGGTTATATTCCCATACAGGATGGAGACATTTCGGCATATAGTACTGTATTTCCCTTCACCTGATGTTTCGGCCAACTTAACAGTATATAGGTACTTGGGAGCTAGGAAATTGTTGTGGGTTGCAACCTGAGGAAAGTCAGTCGTTGGTCTAGGAAGATCTTGTCAGGGACTTCCTGTACCCCCAACAATGAGTAAGCCGTATTTTGAATAGTAAAACTACAAATGTAGCTCAGAATGTTTTGAGTTTGTCCCAGTTACATTTCTTGTAAACTGGGACTGTATTACTAGGACTAATTTCTAGCCAGACTATTACTTTAATTGTAAACCAGAAAACAAAAATGGATTCATGGTAGTCAAATTATATGCTACTGTATACCACAACAGGTAATTACAAGTTTTACACACCATTTTCATTATAATTTGAAAATACTTACATGTATTCCATGACAGCACACAACTGATTCAGACCCAGATGAAAACAGAATAAACTACACCACAAAGGGTTCAGCATTATCTTCCATTAACATGTATTAATGCACTAAATATTGCTATTTCTTTATTCTAATGTTTAGCAATCTTATGGAATTATTGACATTGGTTATTTTATTTTGTCCCTATAATGTGCAACATGTGTTTCCAAATTCTGTTTACAAATCCAAAGAATTACTCTCTTATAATACAAAAACGAAAAACTCTACAAATTTAATTATATAAAGTAATGGCATCTATATATGTCAAGAAAGAGATAGAAGGATATCATATAAAAATGAAGAATGCCTTAAGTGAGAGTCCAATGACTTCATACAAAAATATATACATTCATTTATTACTAATGAAAATATTAGTGATATACACAGTTGGACCACATACTGTAGTGATATATACACAGTTGGACCACATACTGTAGTGATATACACAGTTGGATCATATACTGTGTTGTTATACACATAGCAGACCATACAGAGATATACACATCATCAGACCACATTAGCAAAGACAGAGTGCAAGTTTTATGCACTATTTACACAATACTACTCAAACCCCAAAAGTTATATAAAAGTATCCACTAAGTACTGAAAAAAAGGTTACCTTTTGAGTGTATTAAACAGTGGTCATCACAAACTGCTATGGATATCATCTGATATTACGGTATTAGAAAAGCAACATTATTATTATTACAAGAGAATATATTAATATTTTAAATATCTTACTACTCTCATGCACCAGTTTAGCATTTAAATATTACATGCACAGTCATTATAGATGTTCACTGATGTTAGATAAGAATCATAGGGGGCTTGTAATGAAATCATGATAAACAAATTACACAACAGTTCAGGACGTCGGTTCAACTATGTCAAAAATACTGTTCATCATTTAGGTATCTAGCCCTATGAAGTTCTCACATAAACACGGGAAACAGCATTTAGTACCAGTGGAACCATCAAGCGGATATGATACACACACCAGAATTGACTTTATCAGAATAAGCTATTTCATCTAGTATTTTCTTGTTCATGAGTTGCTGCATTAAGTATGACAATATTTAACAAGCAATACAGTATTTAAAAAAAAAAAGGGATGGGGCTACCCCTCCCCCCATCCCTTTTTTTGCAGACAGGCAGTCTTTCCAAAATATAAATACACTCCTAAAGATGAATTTGGGGTCATGTTTATAATATTGTTAAATACAGTATACTTTTAAAAATGTACTTAGTTGTATGCACTTAAGCACAACGACGGTGGCCGTAAATGTTTATAGTATTACAAGTCATTATCCAGTCATATTATGTACAATAAATGTGCTTGCATGCTGTATGCAATTTGAGTATACAGTATATACAGTGAATTCCTTAGACAATACATCTGAATTACTCATTTATACAAATCTACATCTGAAAAATTCAAATAATGGCACACTGACTATTCCAGCAAGAGCAACATCTGCTTGTATATTAGAATAATAAATATTAGCCATCAAAAAATACTTGCAATGCTGTGTGTTTATACTTCATGATTTAAGTAGAGTACGTCACTTCTGCCAACAGCGGGAGAACTTGGACTTACACACTACTTGTCCACCAGTCTCGCTGTGTTTTACCTCCCGCAGTGCTATACGTTTATCACTGTTATTCGTTACTTGATACACACACCTCTTTTCTCTTGAGCAATTTTGTCCAATATATTTTCTATATAGATTAATTAAAACACACTTTATACATATTTTAGAAGTAAACCTAGTAAGTGAAAATTGGATTTCTACATATCTCATTGAACCTATAATCTCTAATAATCTATTGATAGTTTTGCAAAGAAATATAATACTGTAATACAGTAGGTTTAAAAGGAGGTGAAAAAGTTAAAGAAAAACAAACAAAATAGAATATTTATTTTGAACAGACAAATTTTAATATTATCAGTAAGCATGACAAATTTGTGCCTATATTTAACTACTTACTTCATGCAAGTCAAATTAACAATACAGGAGCAAATATTGTATTTTTACTGGCAATATTACATTTCAAATTTATGGAGTAAATTGTCTCCTTTTAATGCAAATTTACAGAGCTTATAAAAAAATATCTCAAAGTATGTATCCATAATAAAATATATGGATGCACATCATCTGATGCAATGATAACAGTTGAAAGCCTTGCCTACTGTTACAGGTGTCCTAACATTCTCCAAGTAGCTACACATAGTATCACAGTAAAAACATACAAAGTCACACATGAGTATGCCAATATGTTATGAGTATACTAATTCCCATGGAATGGGATGATATGTTCCCTGGGAGGACAGTTTGTGTGGGGACACAAGTCACTTTGGAGTGAGCATATAAATTAACTCTGCTAAGTGGCCAACACTTGGCATTAACTCCTCATGCTGAGACAACAATTCTCTGAGAGCTCCTGCCTCACGACACCAGCCTGCTGCGTTACCATAACAATCTCCCTTTCCCTAACAACAATGATATTTTATGTCAAGTTTCAAATAACATTTTATTATATTTAACTGCTCAAAAAGTTTACATTAAAGATATTATTCAGTAATTTTATACATCAATGATAAAATTCACGTCTCGGTTATTTGGACTGGTTATAATCAACATACACACGAACAACTTCTCCTGAATATTTGCGCTGAGATGGAAGGTAGTAGAAATCTGGAGTCATATCTTGCATGGCAGCATTGTAAGACGGTAGAGAAGAGGATGCTGTAGAGCCACGGGGGAGTGAATAAGTTCCCCGTGGGTCGGGACGTGTCTGAGGGGCGTTGCGCGGGCGTTGAAGTGAACGTGTGTCCCCACCATAGCCTCCTGGATGCTGACCAGGATGCCCTTGATGGCCATTTGCCCCTCCATTATATCCATTATTTTGGCCATTAGATTTACCATACGAGCCACGAGGAATACTAGGACGTGCAGAGCCATTGCTCCCCTGACGACGAGAATTCACTCCATTCTCCTCAGTTTCAAAACTCTCATAGGCATAATTCATGTTGCCCTGGCTATAGTCCTTCCAGCCTGAGTTGGTGATTAAACGCTCCTAGTAAGAAATATTCACTTGTCAGTGTTAACAACAAGGGCTCTCGCATACTTTTTTTTTTTACAATTAAGTGTATACTGCTTTTATATAATTTAGGGTTTAGTGTGCCAGTGACATTACCTTTATAACCAGAAATAAATGTTACTTCAACCCATAATACAGCTATTATAAAATAGAACCTACAGCTAGTATAATGTTAAACTAAGAATTAGATACACACTACATATCTGCCCACCACCTTAGTCATTAATCCTCCAGTATTACAAGTGGTGATACTACTAGTCAGGAACATAGCCAGGGTTCTCAGTACTCAGTGGTGTGCCTGTCTTTACTGGGCTGGAATTAGCTGAGTGGTAAGACAGTGTAGCAGATGAGTGAAATCCACTCTTTGGAGAAAGTGGCTTAGCGGGATACAATTGCAGAGGTTCAACCTGTGCCGACACCAGGCCCACTTGTCTGCCAGAGCGAACACCATTACCAGCAGGAGCCACCATTGCAGCCGCAGGCGGAGGTCCAACCTATATGGTACCAAGCCCAGAAGAACGAAGACCAACAGGGACCAAGGACAGGTAAGCAGGTAAGGGAGAAAGGAAACTAGTTAGTACACAGTACAACAGGATTAATTAACTGTGATAGTTCTAGTTCAGGCATAAGATTTTCATCAAGTTTTGAAGTTCCCAAGAGTGAAGTTGTTAGTTATTGTGACAGGTACAGTAGCTATCTACAGCAACCGTAATTCATCACCTAAACTCATGCACCTTTATACATTCAACTACACTTTTGAGCGGAGCCCATGTTGTAAGCTGGTAGTATGGAAATATGTGTTGTGTCCTACCCATCAACAGTATGTGGAACTTTCAACACCGGTTCAATGGAATTCTGTCTCCGCACACAATGTTGAATGTGCCAACAACTGGAAATGAAGCATCATACTCAGCTGTGTTGCATATCTGTTACACTTTATGCATTGAAAAACATGACAAGTTTTTGTGAAAATATACACATGTTTGATATATAATACATTAAATAATATACTGTAGGAGTTGTTTAAATATGCATATAGCAAGTAACTAATTATAAAAGTGAATGATATTTGCAAAAATAATAATTTACTTAGATTTTGAAGCTTTCTTGAAGAAAATAAGCAATATCCAGTACACTCATGCATTAGACAAAGAAGACAAGCCTGGCAGACATGGTAGATAAAATAGGGATAAACAGGCAAGCAGACAAATATACTGTTATACAAAAACATTTATACAAACAGGTACATACGTAGGCAATCAAACAAATGTATACAGGCAGGCATATGCACACACACACACACACACACACACACACACACACACACACACACACACACACACACACACACACCCATATCTTAAGAAGCATATCAACAAATTGGAAAAGGTGCAAAGACATGCCACTAAGTGGCTCCCAGAACTGAAGGACAAGAGCTACAAGGTAAAGTTAGAGGCATTAAATATGCCAAAACTAGAAGATAAAAGAAAAGGAGACGATATAATCACTACGTACAAAATGGTAACATGAATCAATAAAATTGATAGGGAAGAATTCTTGAGACCTGGAACTTCAAGAACAAGAGGTCATAGATTTAAACTAACTAAACAAAGCTGCCAAAGAAAATTCACTTTCGCAAACAGTGGTAGATGGTTGGAACAAGCTACGTGAGAAGGTGGTGGAGGACAGAACCGTCAGTAGTTTCAAAGCATTATATGACAGAGTGCTGGGAAGACGGAACACCAAGAGCGTAGCTCTCATCCTGTAACTACACTTAGGTAATTACACACACACACACACTTCTCACTAAGTGAGAAGGTCGTGGAGGCCAACACTCAGTAGATTCAAAGTGTTATATGACAAAGAGTACTGAAATGATGGGATACCACAAGTGTAGCTCTCATCCTGTAACTACACTTAGCTAATTACACACACACAAACATTTAGGCAGACAGTTACATTCCTACTGTATGTATAGGCAGGCATGCATACACACATGACAATGAGTACTGGGAAGACAGGACATTATAAGCATAGCTCTCATCCTGTAACTACACTTAGGCAATTACACACACACAAACTGTGTGTGTATGTATGTATGTATGCAGAAGGGCCAGAGATTTGCCACAGGGCTGGAACCAGTACTGGCAATATAAGATCTGTGCTTTGAGAACAGGCTCATAGAGATGAACCTATATTCTGAATAGAAAAAAGATCCAGAGATGTAGTAAGAACATAAAAGATACTGAGATCAACAAAATGGACAAGGAATGACTGAGATGACAATTAGTAGGACTGGAGGATACGGAAACTTGTAACACATATGAAATACATAAAGCCAGGAAGCATTTCTTTAGTATATGAGTATGACAAGTAGTAGTCATAGTAATATGTGGAAAGAACTAAGGGGAGAGGTCATTCCAATTCAATCCACAGCTTTAAATTTAGATATAATATTCATAATAAATTGAAAGCAGTGTTGTGAGAGAGCTAAGAGCTAATCATCCCTACCTGCAAGCACAATAGGTAAGAGAACATGGATAAGAACACACAATATGAGGTACAGCTCAGAGCTTAATCTTACTCCGTGAAGACACTGACAGGTAAGCACTCATGCATAAATGTGTACATACATAAACAAAAATACAATAAGCAGATTTCTTCAACAAAAGCTGTTAGGCAATGGTGTTGGATATTCAACACTTGTATGCACAGAGACAGTTGGCAAACTAAACTGTTTGGTGAAGAGCCCGCACTTCACGTTACTCACTAAATGACAGAAATACAGGCTACATGTACTATATACAGTTATGTGATTATTGATGAAGGTTGATGCAAGTCCTTTAAATACCAACAGGATGATGGAAGAAGTCAGAGCCAACACAACCTTCCTTTAGCTGAATTAAATTATTATCACGAGATATAACTTGTTCTGTACTTCAGTGGGGCGGCGGTGAACTACAATGGTTACTTAAGTACAAGCTTTATATGCATGGCATTAATAATTAAAAAACTATTTTAATTCAGTATTCTATGAAATTATTCCAGTCTTTTACTATTATACAATAGTCTACTTGTTTAACTTTATCCTAATGAGTATCTTTTACAAGAGAACAAGGAGGTCCATGTATTATCTGATCCATCAACAAATTCATTCACACTTCACATAATATAATTTCTACATATCTTCTAATTGATTTTGTAGAGGACACACTTATATACATTGTCATCCTTATATATATATATATATACGTATCCACCGAGTCATCCTTCGATAAACCACTCTCAGCTTCCACATAATGTGATCTGTGTACACATTTCTTTCACGTTTCCTAAGTGTTCACTATATAACATATAGTCTACTCTCATGCATCCTAAGTGGTCACTGTACAACACACAGTGTCTTACACTTCACTGTACAATGCTGCAATGATTTCATGTGCCAGAAAGATCTATTTATGCAATCTACATTAGTGACACTGCTGATAATGCCATAAACCATATTAGATCTGTGTATGACACAAACAACCTGTCCTCTTACAAATTACATCTGTATTTGGCCGTTTGCCTGTATGGCCAAAAATGGATGTAATTTGAAAATGAAAAATAATTGAAAATAAATTTAGTTTTCTTTATCTAAAACAGCAAGTTTAGGGTCCTCTGATAGGTTAGGAGGGTAGGAAGTTCTCTTAAGGTTTCAAAATGTCATGAAAACCGTTAATTGAAAGTTTCCTCTCCTAACCTAACCAAGTAAGCTGGAGGACTCACAGAAAACGAGATAGTAAGTCACTTTCGTGAGCCGATTTCATTTAAAATTATGTTCATTTTTGGCCATAGCGCGCAAACGAGCGAAAAGCGACATTATTTTAAGAGGACGGGTTGCACAAAGATCTACAGGAAAATAATATAGCAGCCTTGCATAAGAATCTACCCAATCATCACAAATAATCAAAGGACTGACAGAATTTTCACTACTGAAAAATCCACGATCACAAATCAGGGTCATAACAATATGCACCACAGCAACTATACTGACAACAGTGTCTTGTAACACACTGAAAAAGAGAGAAGAATGTTGACCTTTGTACTCCCCCGCCTGAACTACTATATCAACCACAAACACCTCACTCACAACAATAAATTATTGCAATGGAAAATATTCAGCACAGAACCATAAAAATTATTCCAGAACTAAGTCAACTCTCATACATACTGGGAAAGGCTTAGGGCTAAAGGACTAGCAAACCCCACATTGAAGACATGGCAGAGCTGATCTTAAGATACATAAAAATGCTGAACAAGTTAGAAGACATTAATCAATCATTCGAAAGGTTCAGTGTGACATACAAGAAGCAATAGTTACAAGTTCACACCCATATGGTGTAAACCCATGTAATTACATTACATTACATTATATAATAATGTAATTGTAACCCAACCAAGCTGTAAAAACTGTAAGAGTACACAGAAAAATCACCATATGTGATTTCTCTGTGTATTGAAAGGTACACAGAGATAGAATTACTGGATGATAGAGCCAGAGTGCCTGGGGGGGAATTGTGTCAAACCCTGGTTCAGCTTCAGTGGAACCCTCAGGAATCCTCGAGGGTGAAGTAACACCCCAGGTTCCAATTCTTTTGACCATCCCGTGGCATGGTCATCTAAAGCGTGCATCTCTGAATACCGAGCGCATAGGTTCAAATCCTCATCACGGCCCCTGTAGATTTTCTAACTGTAACAGTGTTAAAGTTCAAAATACAACTAGAAAAACTTGTCAACAGAATGGGAAACCTTCAACAAGCCACTGGCTTCCTATCAGTGACATAGCCATTAGAATTATTGGCTGTCAGGCAAATCGGTTGCTGTTCCTTCCAACACCACTCGTCACACTTCTCGTGTTCAGTAATTTATCCTCCTCCTCCTGTGATAATATTCTGGCTTTACATTATTCAAACCACTCATCCTCCATCCATACCAACAACTAATATCATACTTTTAAGAGTAAAAGAAAGTTACACACCATAGTCACTACCTTGCGTAATTCATTTAAATAAAATAAATGTGTAACCTCAATCAAGGCCCGTAACACCAAAATATAAAAAAAGGGGAGATGAAATAGATGCATTTGGTTATTTTTGCTCACCTTAGTGCTAACAGGAGGGGTCTTGTTTTTCTTGCTTCTGGCAATCATGACGATGGCCTGTATGAGAGCGATCACCACCAATGCTACCACCACACCTATGATGATCCATATCTTGTTGGCCTTCAGGAACCTATAAGTAAAATCCTATATAGAGGCAGCATGAGGAATGTACAAGTAAAAAGGTATTTAAGAGTAATGTAGATTCCCGAGACTTCATGTAAAAATATTAACATGGAGAATGCAAAGGTGGAAGTTAGAAATTATAATAACAGCTTTAGTAACAAAGGAAATGCTAATTAAAAATTAAGACAATGCAGCAAACTTAGAATAAATATCGAGAGGAATTGATCAAAATAACAGTATGCAAATGGGTATGGCAGCAGGAGTGCAGAAATAAACCCTTCCACTGTTAAAAGGTTTTTGTTTATGACCCCAGTACAGTACCCACATAATGTGATCTGGCACCCACATCATCCTAATCATTCTTGGTATGAACTGATTTAGTACTGGAATGATTTTTGTCATGCTGTGTTGAACATAGCAGATTTATTTATTTATTTATTTATTTATATACAAGAAGGTACATTGGGTTAGAGAGAATACATAGCATAGTATTTACAATCTTGTAAAGCCACTAGTACGCGCAGCATTTCGGGCAGGTCCTTAATCTAACAGATAATTTTAAGTATGTAAATTCTAGCAGAATTAAGCAGTTGTCTAACCATTTGTGGAGTTCATGTTCTCTGTAAGGCCTCAATATTGTTTGTGCTTCCTACTTTACCATAGATCTTAAGTGTCATCTGCAAATCTGATGATATGCTTTGTAATATTTTATTTTTATCATTGATGTATGTGACAAAAAGTGTTGGGCCCAAGACAGAACAACATTTTTCCAGTCAGATTCATTTCCATTAAGGACGACCCTTTGCTTCCTTTCATCTAAGTATTATTTTATCCATTCTAGTATTTTCCCATTTATTCCATGTGGTTGCAATTTCCTTGCCAGTGTTTCATGTGGAACTTTATCAAAAACTTTAGTACAGTATACTACATCTACTGGAAGTTCTTTGTCAAGTTAGGTAGTGGAATAAAGTGCATACAACTATATACTGTACAAGGAAGGAGAGAACAAAACAGTGGGTACCTTTTCAACCATAGGGTTATAAAAACCTCCTACCTGCTGAAGCCATTAATGCAGTCATTACTTCAGAATAAAATCCAGATAGAAAAAAATCCTAAGGAACAACAGGGAAATTTAAATAAAAGGAGCAGAAGTACGAAGGTACAAAATACAGAGAGTGGAGTTTCAGTGTACATGACTGCAGCAGGTGGCAGTGTGGTAATAGAATGAATAAAAAATAGTTATTGGAAAAATTCTGTTGTTTCTATAGGTTTCTTGAGTTGATACATACATGGTTTAAGTCTTCTGTTACTCATGTCAATGCCAGTAATAGACTGTTCTCATATCATTTAAATAGTTCTCATATCATTTAAATTTGGAAGAGAATTTAAATGATATGAGAACCCCCATGCAAACACATCATCATTAAAGGTTGATACCTGAAAGGTGCATCATTTCATGTTAGATAACAGTTCTTACTGGACTAAAATGGCAGATATATTTATGTCCACTATATCTACATTTCACTGAGTACAGTAGCTAGACTGATCCAAAGTTGTCCTCATCTTAAAGCACATTTACAGAAGTATACGAAGCTGACCTTATAGCTGGGTCTGATCCATCCTCACTCAGTCCTGTCAAAGACTTTTCTTGGACTGCCCCGGATGATGCTAGAAGAGAAAATTAAATAAATACCAGTTTATTTGAAATAACCAGGGTAAAAATATTTTCCTGATATGTATGTAAATAATGGAATGGATCTAATTGGCAGTAAATTAGATGTTTTATTATAAAATCCATCTACAGAATTTAATAAATGACATATTAATACAGTATATATTTTCAAGGTGAATCTATTATACATACAGTACCAGCACTGTACTGTATATATATTCAGTACTTTATATATACCAGTAACGTATATATATATATATAATAAAAATGTTCAATATATGCAACGATTATGAAAACTTATATTGTCTTACCTGTACAACACCCAAGTACAATTTCTCCACTCACTACAGTGAATGCCCTTCCTATTGAACCATCACCGCACCACCAGAACCTCCAGCACCATTGTTTTGTCCCTTTTGTGTCCAAACAGTCCGCTAACCCCAGCACTATCATGTCAACATGTATGATCCCCACTGTCTGATACTACTAACACCATCATGTGTCAATACATATTTCCCCACTGTCTAATAGTATCAACACTGTCACCACCATGTGTCAATGTGTATAATATCCACTGTCCAATACTCCCAGCACCATCACCACCATGTGTCAATGTGTATAATATCCACTGTCCAATACTCCCAGCACCATCACCATCATGTGTCAATGTGTATAATATCCACTGTCCAACACTACCAGCATCACAACAACAGTACTGTACTTGTCTGTGCAGCAATTCTAATACTGTATAACTTATTTTTCCTCTTCATGAACATCTTGTTTATGCCTTTCAATTTATACCAAAGTCTTTTGTTTATAATTGACTTACATGCACAAATATATAAATTTAAGTTAGTATTATAATCTGCTCCATCACACAGTTTTTTATGAAGACATTTGTTTTTAGATACTCATTACAACTGTTTAGACCCACTGCATAAATGATAATTATCACTGTGATAATAAACTCCCAATATACAATTTGAATTTGAAGGAAGAATTTGTTGTCACAGATTTCCTTTTCACATATATAATATTCATGTTACTGTACTTCCTTAAAAAAAAAATCAGCGTTAAATGTAATGAAACACCTCTTTCTGGAGGAGCCCCGGTGACTTCTCCAGAAAAGATGTTATTGTAAACACACTTATAGCTCTGACTGTTGCACAATGTTGTATTTTCCAACATATTTGCCGCTAGACACACTAGATGATGATGCTACTGTAATATACCCATGACACTGTCTTTCTTGATGAAGCAGTAAATACCAAGAGTTTAGCCCCAGTTTAATAAACTGGACAAATTCCTCAGTAATAATGGAGGGTTATATGATAAGCTATGATAAGGTTCTATGGCCACTAGAGATGGTGGCCCCTCAGGATACACACCAACAAGACAGTGTTACAAGCCGAGGGTAACAGTCTTGTGTTACAAGCCGAGGGTAACAGTCTTGTGTTACAAGCCGAGGGTAACACCACACCCAGTACCACAGATGTGGTGCCTTCCACTGTGCAGTTAGAAAATGGTAATGTTACAAGGTTTTCACTCAATAATTGAAGTACAGAAGGTTATATGTAAGGACTCAAAGTATGTGGTACAAAGTTTTACAAATAAATGGCAAGAGAGAGAAAACACTTAGTCATTACTTTATATAATGTATACTTTCCCATAATAAGGGACAGGAAGTCTATTAGGCTTATTGAGATCCCTCTAGGGCCTAGGGGGCTGATAACAACAGTTGCCTAACTTCCAGATATTTATTTACTGATGCTAGATACTAGAATAAACAGAGGCATCAGGTGAAAAGAAACGTTGCCTAAACACTTCTGTACTGCAGTAAAAATTTAACCGAGGATCATTCAGCTGTGATCCGACAGTGCCAATTTATTAAGGTACATTTCTTCATTTCATTACTTACCTGAATTTACCCGAGGGCCACCAACACTAGCGGCCTCGACAAGGACAGGAAGTCGGTGGCCTGTCAAAGGTCCCCCAATTTGCACTGATAATCTTTTCCAGTAGGATTTTAAAATTTAACAGTGTTTTGGCATTCACGGCTTCAGCGGGTAGACAGTTCCATGGGTTTATGTATACATTTAACTCCTCTTTAAGTAATCCTTCTCATATACTGTACCTGTATACTTTCATTCTAAAAATAAGTAATCTTGATAAATTTGTATTTTCTTGAATTGAGAATGCATGCAGTGATGTGGACTCATCACATCACTGCATTTGTGATGAATAGGATTAAGATTTCTACTCTTCCTCATCTTTTGTATCAAAATAAGAATAAATAAAAAAAATTTTTACGAGGATTTTTCATATTATGAGCATTTCATTTCGCAACCCGTTCTCGCAAATTCGTAAAGTCAATATTGACTTATTAACTACGTGCATAGGTGATATACTAAACATAATAGATACCCTTAAAAAGATTCATAGAAAACACCGACCTTACCTAACCTTGTTAGTATCTTAAGATAAGCATCTTATTGCTTCGTAATTACAATTATTACTTAACCTATACCTATTATAGGTTAGGTAATAATTGTAATTACGAAGCAATAAGATGCTTATCTTAACATACTAAGTAGGTTAGGTAAGGTCGGTGTTTTCTATGAAGCTTTTTAAGGGTATCTATTATGTTAAGTATGTCACCTATGCACATATTTAATAAGTCAATATTGACTTATTAAATTTGCGAGAACGGGTTGCATTTCCTTAGTATGCTAACAGATGTCTTCATAATGGGATTCAATGGATCTCAGTCATAGTGAGAATACTATATTCACTGTAACTCATTGAACATTTCTTAACATTGTAATGCACGTCTACACTTCTCAACTGATCTTTAACACTTTAATATGCAGTTATTTCTAAGTGACTAACACTATTTGAGCTCATAAGAAATGGTTGGCATGGATGTTAGTAAGCATACTCTCCCAGTGTTAGTACGGTGCATGGCTGGTCATGCCCTTTGTATGTTAGTGAGGTGCACAACTTGTCTCTCCAATAGTTACAGTGTAGGAGAAAGGAATCTTAGCAAGAACAGATCAAAACATTTTTGTATACAGTATATAAAAGCTAACTTTTACATTAATTTTTTGTTTGTTCAGACACAAACATCAAAACTATCTTCATTTCAAGCTCACCATCAGCAATACCTAAACTGTATTTTCCAGTAAAATCAACAAAACAAAAGATTTTTCTCAGAAACAAATGAAAAAAGTGTGCTGCAGCCTCTCCTCCAGGTACCATGTTGCAACCCAAGAGCTAACTTGTGTCTCACTTTTGTGGCTTCTACAGTTCCGTAAAGATAATTGCAGAGCAATCACCATTCTGTTGCTCACTAAAGGTAAATATAGGAGTCATAAACACTCATTCATTACCTAAGCAAGACTGAAATGAGTAACACTTAGTGGTCCAGCCAGAGGGTTAGAGTCTGGACAGGACACTCCCAAGTAAATCATATCTGCTGTGTCTCACCCAAGAGAATCATGAATCATGTATACATATACGACCAGAATCATGTATACATATTTTGGCACTGGAACCCTAGGGAACTTTTTGAACATCACCTGTAGCCTTCCAATTGCTATCTACAATTACCTACTGTGCTTAAATCACCATATGCTTTTTTTTAAATTAGATTTGTGAACTTTTTTGGCATCTGCACTACAATTTAGGTCTTTTAATTAGCTGAGCTGTTTTATGGGTAAAGGTGCTTGGGAGTCACAAGAAGGAAAACTCAATCCATCCCAGATTGTGTCCTATGGGTGAACATTATCAACAACCTTCAGACTCTTTAGTCTGAAGGTTGACTAAAGAGTCTAGACACTCTGCATCAAATGTGAATCCTTCCTCTTCTTGATCTTTTAAATCAGTTTAAGATGTTTACCATAGGAAGCAGCTGAATGGTAGTAATTACCTAAGTGTAGTTACAGGATGAGAGCTTCGCTCATGGTATCTCGTCTTCCCAATAATCTTTGTGTTACGGTATCATCACCTTCGTCGGAGTGTAGAGTGGCAAGTCCAGTGCCATCTATGGGTCTGCACTCCAAACCCCCCTGGTATTGGATGCTATAATGAATGGCTCCTGTTTCCTGCCTTGGTCAGACAGAAAGGTCGTTATGGATGACCCCTGGTGGTGGGCGTATCAAGACCAGCGCTACCTAGATTATGCTACAGAGCATAATGTCAACTCCCAGGTGAATGAGTGTTACCTCATGGTTTCGTCAGTGTACCATCCGTCTAATTGATGACGTTTTATGTCCACAGAAGTGATGTGTGGAGGCAGTGGTACTGAAGTAGGCAGTTTACCTTGGGCAGTCCACGTACTCTCAGCTTGGTTCATTCCATCACTCATGTGTTCACATTCAGTACTTGTGTTAGGGAAATGGGAATTATCAGGAGAAAGCAACAAGCCATTACAACTATATAGCACTTGGAAAGGGTCAGGATAAGGATTTGGGATGGGACGGGAGGAAGGAATGGTGCCCAACCACTTGGACGGTCGGGGATTGAACGCCGACATGCATGAAGCGAGACCATCACTCTATCGTCCAGCCCAAGCGGATGGGGAAGTATATGAAGTGGTTGGAAAGCCTGGAGTGAGCATGTAGCTGCAGTCTTCTTGCAGTCAGTATAGGCATCAAGGCAGGCAAAGGAATCATTAGAGATTTCTTGTTTAGCAGTCATTTGAGATTCCAATTGAAGGTTTGTAGAGGATTTGAGGTTATTAGGATTGTAACTTATGTCGGTCATTCTGGCTGGATTGAGTTTTTCTTCAGCAACTTCCTACTACTTTTAACGACTGTGGACAGTTGTCTGAAAAGTTCCCTCTGGTGGAAGTACCAAAATATGGTCATGCATGACTAAACATGATCTTAGCACAGTGGATGCTTACCATATGGAGCAACCTCATGATTCTGTTCATGATGGTACTAATTATATTTACTTGAAAGCCTTATTTTTGTCACTAAGACAGTGCTATACA